ACCTCGCTCAATGCGCTCTATCGAGACATGACACAGCGCGCTGCGTTGTGCCTTGTTTGTTTAGACAAAATCTCTTTATCTATTAATAGGACGTGGGAGAAGCTCAGATCACATTTTCAGGCCACTGTGCAGTGGGATTATGTGTGTCGTTTTGAAGGGTTCAAGCTGTCCATCTGCAGAAATCTTGTGGGTGGCTGTTTTTCCTGGATCTGAATCCCTTTAAACTGGTACAAACTATTCAATATAACTCCACAACTCGTTTTGAGCATCAGAGAGAAGGATAAAGAGAAGGATAGCAGAAAATTTTTTTTTTGCAAATCATTGTGCCTAAAGAACATAGAATAAACAGAGTGGGAAGGGACCTTGAGGGTCATCTAGTCCAACCCCTTGCTCAAGCAGGAGACCCTATATCTTTCCAGATAAATGGCTGTTCAGCCTCTTCTTTAAAAAAAAACAACTTTCCAATCCTATTAATCTAATAATCAAGCTTGCCATGTCCTATTGCTATGGATCACTTCAGCAAGCTCTGATGATTATTGTCCGAATTCTGCCGACTGCCCATCTTATTATAAAGACGCTTCTTTCTATTTCTTCCTTCCCTTCATCGCAGGAAAGAGCAAAAATTAAAAAAAATGTTTTCTTAATTTTGTCTGACGTATTGTGAATTTCCCAACTCTTGAAGTGGGAATTGGGTTTTGAGTAGAGGTACTTTTTTAAAAATTTGCTAAATTAATAAAAACAAATTTAAAGAGAGAGAGAAAGAGAGGAAGAGAGAGAGAAAAGAGGGAGAGAGAGAGAGAGAGAGAAAGAGAGAGAGGAGGGAGAGAGAGAGAAAGAGGGAGGGAGAGAGAGAGAAAGAGGGAGAAAGAGAAAGAGAGAGAGAGAAGAGGGAGAGAGAGAAAAAGGGAGGAAGGGAGAGAGAGAAAGAGGGAGAAAGAGGGAGAGAGAGAGAAGAGGGAGAAAGAGAGAGAGAGAAGAGGGAGAGAGAGGGAGGGAGGGAGAGAGAGAGAGAGAAAAAGAGAGAGACGAACTGTATGGAAAACATCATGTTTGATCATATGGAGGCTTAATAATCAAACTAGAAGCAGATATTCTGGAAACTAAATTAAATTATCGAAGTCACTGCACTGACTTTTGTGTCTAAGGTAGAACTAGAACTCACCATTTCCTAGTTTCTTGCCAGGTGCCTTAACCTCTAGAGTCTAGACCAAACTGGAAGCAGCAGTCAGAACTGGCAATCTTTGTTCTTGTACATTATGGAGCATTTATTACAAACGCTACTAATTGTCGCAGAAATAGGTCACCAATAGCATGACGTTGCTGAAGTCAAATGGGGCCGTTGGGTTTATGTCTGATCTCAAAAGAATGAGCTAAAGCCAAATCCAGAACAGGGAAATGATCTTTTTGTTTGTTTGTTTTGCCCATCGAGAATAACATGGCGGTCAAATCAGACTGTTACGGGAAATCCTCGACTTTGTTGTTGTTAGTTGCGAAGTTGTGTCTGACCCATCACAACCCCATGGACAACGTTCCTCCAGGCCTTCCTGTCCTCTGCCATCTTCTGGAGTCCATGCCTGCTCCTTCAGTGACTCCATCCAGCCACCTCATTCTCTGTCGTCCCCTTCTTCTCTTGCCCTCCATCTTTCCCAGCATCAGGCTCTTCTCCAGGGAGTCCTTCCTTCTCATTAGGTGGCCAAAGTCCTTGAGTTTCAACTTCAGGATCTGACCTTCTAGAGCAGTCAGGGTTGATCTCCTCTAGGACTGACCGGTTGGATCGCCTTGCAGTCCAGAGGACTCGCAGGAGTCTTCTCCAGCACCAGAGTTCAAAGGCCTCCATTCTTTGGCGCTCACTCTTTCTTATAGTCCAACTTTCACAACGATACATTGCAACTGGGAAAACCATGGCCTCGACGTTTCTGTTGGTAAGTGAGGCCTTTCTTAAGTGAGTTTTGCCCCATTTTACTATGTTTCTTGCCGCATCACTGCAGTTGTTAAGCTAGTAACATAATCACATGAGCCCGGGACCCTGAAACAGTCGTAAATAGGAAGCAGTTGCTCAGCATTTCAAGTCTGATCACCTGACCCCGAGGGTGCTACGGCAGTCGTAAGTGTTGAAAAACGGTCATAAGTCACTTTTCGGTGCCGTTGTAACTTCAAACAGTCACTAAGGGAACTGTTGTAAGTTGAGGACTTTCTCCATTCCATTCAGTTTTGAACCTACCAGTTCAAACTGACCATAGTCAAAGTCTCCTATCCCAGATCTGAACGGGCCACATTTTAGTTAAAGGCAAAACCATTTGGGTGGGTCAACCGTAAGAGCATAAAGAAAACATACCCGCTGCCGATTTAAAATGAATTCATCCGTCGTTTCCTTTCTAAGGTAATTATAGTACTCGCGATTACCCGGAAAGCCTTAATTTAATTGCGAATATTATTTTGGAAAGCTGTGATACATTTAACACATTTGCGTGCTGCGTGCCTTCAGGAGGTAGAGCAATTATCACAGTCTAGATCACTAATCAGAAGCAGATGCTATGACTCGAATTACAGTATGGTACAGTAAAAAGATAAAAGAGTTTCATCTGTATTGATTTACTAATTTTAGAGACGCACTGTTCAACTGACCAAATAGTAAATAAATGTATATACTGTATGCTGTGCTTCTTCCTAACAGATCTCCTTAGTATTTCACACCTATAGACCCAATCTTGCCAAACTAAAGCATATACCATGGGAACTATTAAGGAGGAGCTGTCTTCACCCTCTTTCTCTCACATAAGCTATCTAATCTTGTCAAACTAAAGCATAGACCAGTGGTGGCGAACCTATGGCACGCGTGCCAGAGGCGGCACTCCGAGCCCTCTTTGTGGGCACATATGCTGTACTCCGGAGATGGCAACCGTCCTCTTCAACCAGCCGCCCGCTAACTCGCCGAGGTCCCACAGGGCCAGATGCATCCCAGCACCCATGTGCTCGCTGGCCTCTTATGTGCGGGGGCCGATGGTGTCAGGCAGCAGCCACCCCAGCCCCTGCCTCACCTTGCCCTGCGACAATGGCACCCTTGCCCTGCCTCGCCTTGCTTTGCCTCACCCCGAGGACAAGCATCCTGCCCACCGCCCCACTCGTCAGAGACCCCCTGGATCTCCCCCAACCCTGCCTGGCCCCCACAGGCGTCCCTCCCCAAGAGCAACATCAATCTGGCCACGCCCACCCTGGTCATGCCCACCCATCTGCCATGACCACCGTAGCCACGCCCACCCGGCGGGCCATGCCCACCCGGCACCCGGCGATACATAAGTGGGTTTTGGGTTGCAGTTTGGGCACTCGGTCTCTATAAGGTTCGCCATCACTGGCATAGACTATGGGAACTATTAAAGAGGAACCGTCTTCACCCTCTTTCTCTCACACAAGCTATCTAAAGTGAGCTGTCTCTTGCTCCTCCCTCCTAGGAATCCAAACAACATCTCATTGCATCTGGGTTGTACACAAGTAGTTCTCGACTTACAACCACAATTGAGCCCAACATTTCTGTTGCTGAGCGAGTTGTTGTTTTGCCCCATTTTACAAGCTTTCCGCCAGAGTTGGTAAGGGAATCCCTGCAGTTGTTAAATTAGTAACACTTAGCGGTTAAGTGAAGCTGGCTCCCCCCCCCCCCTTGACTTAGCTCGTCAGAAGGTTGCAGTGATTGCATGACCCCGGGGCACTGTAATTGTCATAAATAGAAATCGGTTCCCAAGCTTCTGAATTTTGATCACGTGACTGTGGGGATGCCACAGTTTTGTAAGTGTGAAAAATGGTCCTAAGTCACTTCCCCCCCCCGTGCTGTTGTATCTCTGAACCATCACTAAATGAACTGTTGTAAGTCGAGGTTTCTCCGTATATATCAGCGGTTCTCCACCCGTGGGTCGGGACCCCATTAGGGGTCGAACGACCATTTCACGGGGGTCGCCAAACAACACAGTCCGCCATTTTTCCCCCTTTTCCTTAGCTGTGCTACTCCCTTTTATTCTATTGGCTTTTGAAAGCCAATAGAATAGACTCTCTTGAATAGAGTCTAATTCTATTGGCTTTCAAAAGCCAATAGGAATTGTCCAGGCTGTCTCTGCCCTGCTGAGCCCGCCAAAAGCCCCAGTCTGCAAACGGTGCTGCAAGTTGTCTGCAGCGAAGGCGAGCTGTCTGGAAGTTTCCACCCCTCCCTGCTGAGCAACTACTAAAAATGTAAGTAAAAGAGGGCCAGGGGTGGGAGGTGGGAGGCCGGCAGGCGCAGGGAGGGTTGCTGGTGCGTGTGGGGCCTGGCAGGTGCCTTACCTCCCTTGGGCTGGGCCAGCTGGTGGCCCAGCCGGTGGTCGGCCTGCTCCGTCTCTGCCGCTTGCCAGCTACACCTCGACTGGCGCAGGGGGCGGCACCACGCATGTGCGGCTCTCCCCAGCAGGGAAAGTTCTCGACTTACGGCCGGTTGAGTAGTCCTCAACTTACGACCGGTTGGGTAGTCCTCGACTTACAACCGGTAGGGGATCGCGGCATTAAAAAGGTTGAGAACCACTGGTATATATGGACAAGACTCTACAAGATGACAGACTTAACTTTCCTTTGTCATTTGGGCTATGGGCTATATCATCTAGATCAGGGGTCCCCAATCTGTGGGCCCCAGCCCACTACCGGTCCGTGGCCTATTTGCAATTGGGCTGCGTGAGTGGCTGGCTATTATGTGCGCATGTGTGCGTGCGCGCACAGCCCCACTCGGGACCTCACTCGTGTGAGCGACATGGGTGCTCTCGGGCCCACTCACAAGAGCCACAGGTGCTCATGGGCACACCTGCCCCTCCCACAAAACCATCCCCTCTTCCCCCCCCCACCAGGCCGCCAACTTGGAAAGTTTGGGGAAGTCTGATCTAGACTCTCAGGGTGCAATCTTGACAGTCCACAAGTCTTCAAGTGGCCAAGATTGGACCATCACTCATCTCCGCTAGCTTTACTCCAAACACAAAGTGGTCACTTACTTTGGTTTGATCCTCGGCTTTGAAAACGTAGCAGATGCTTTGCTCATTCGTCGCTCCATCTCTGATCAGGCAGGCAAAGTAACTGGGATCGTGGCTGTTGTGAATCAGTTTGTGGACGTTTTGCGGCCTACACTCAAACAGGCTAGAACAAATCAAAGGATCCCACTGCTGGTTGTTTCCCGAGTCTGCTTCACACCGTATCCTGGCAGGGGAGACATAGATCCGAATTCGGCTAGCGGCGGGGTCTTCCTTCAAAGGTTGAGTGCTGAGTCGGATCTGGGCTACAATCCAAGGAAGCATTGGCATCGTGGTTAAAGGATGCACCGGCAAGGAACCAATCAGCTGAAGGCGGAAATCCACCGAACCATCGCTGGATGCCTCGGGGTTTTTCACTCTGAATGACACAGGTTCCATTTTGAAAAATGGAAAAAGGGTCCATCAACCCAAGTGGTTAGCCAGTCTTGAAATTCTAAAAAGAAAACAAAAATTACATCGTCGATATAATCACTTTTATCCGTTCCAAGAACCACGCCAATAATGAAACGAAACATTCCTACTCCAGTTTTTTTGTTTTGCTCATACAGTGGTATTTATCTTATAACGTTATTCCTGCAGACGAAGAAAAACGGGGCTTTTGAACAACCTGAAAAGGAATTACATCATTCTGTCTTTTTACAAATACAGGTCGTTCCCCGACTTACAACGGTTCACTTAGTGAACGTTGAAAGTTACAACGACGCTGAAAAAGTGACTTATGATACTTTTTTTTCACATGACCTTTGCAGCATCCCCAACAGAGGTGGGATTCAGCCAGTTTGCACTGGTTCAGGAGAACCGGTAGCTAAATTCACCTAAATTCAGAGAACCGGCTGGCTTCTGGAAGTCCAGTCTAGGCCTTGAGGCCTCCCAGGCCTAGAATGGCCCACCGGAAGTGTGTTGATGCCACTTCTAGAAGTCTGTTCTAGGCCTCGGAGGCCTGGAGGAGGCCTCCCAGGCCTAGAACGGCCCACCAGAAGTGCATGATGCCACTTCCAGAAGTCCATTCTAGACATTGGAGGCCTGGAGGAGGCCTCCCAGGCCTAGAATGGCCCACCGGAAGTGCATGATGCCACTTCCGGAAGTCCATTCTAAGCATCAGAGGCCTGGAGGAGGCCTCCCAGGCCTAGAACGGCCCACCAGAAATGCATTGATGTCACTTCCAGAGGTTTGTTCTAGACATCGGAAGCCTGGAGGAGGCCTCCCAGGCCTAGAACGGCCCACTGGAAGTGTGTTGATGCCACTTCTGGAAGTCTGTTCTAGGCCTCGGAGGCCTGGAGGAGGCATCCCAGGCCTAGAACGGCCCATCGGAAGTGCATGATGCCATTTCCAGAAGTCCGTTCTAAGCATCAGAGGCCTGGAGGAGGTCTCCCAGGCCTAGAACGGCCCACCGGAAGTGCATGATGCCACTTCCAGAAGTCCATTCTAGGCATTGGAGGCCTGGAGGAGGCCTAGAACGGCCCATTGGAAGTGCATGATGCCACTTCTGGAAGTCTGTTCTAGGCCTTGGAGGCCTAGGCCTGCATCACATAATAGAACCAGTTGTTCAGGTATCTGAATCCCACCACTGATCCCCATGGTCATGTGAACAAAATTCGGACGCTTGGCCACTGGTTCATATTTATGACGGTGGCAGCATCCCGGGTATGTGATCCCCTTTTGTGACCTTCTGACCAACAAAGTCAATGGGGAAGCCGGATTCACTTAACAACCGACTCATATTTATGACGGTTGCCGTGTCCCGGGGTCACGTGATCCCCTTTTGCGATCTTCGGACAAGCAAAGTCAACGGGGCAGCCGGATTCACTAAACAATCGTGTTATTAACCTAACAAGTTCAGTGATTCATTTAACAACCATGGTAAAGTGGTAAAATGGGGCAAACCTCACTTAACAAACGTCTCACTTAGCGAAGGAAATTTTGGACTCAATCGTAAGTCGAGGACTGCTTTTATCACTTTCGCTCAGGAAAAAAAAAACAAAAAAAAACCCCAAAACCAAATGTATCCTTGAAGTCACCCAAAGTTTAGCCAAGCTCAAAGGCTACTCTCTTTTTTTACTATCCCGTTTTCTGCATAATATGCAAGTAAAATTGGATCTTGAAACAGAGCACCTGCTTCAGCACAGCTTATAAGAGGGGAAAAAAATTAAATAAACCTGATTTCTCTGCAAATACCATTTAAAAGGATCTTGCTAAAGCATGAAACCAAACGCGGATGGGCCAATTCCAATGGGGGTGTCCAACTGTTTTGTCTAAATCCATTTGGATTCTGCTTCCTCACCAAAGGAAAATAAACATTCCCGTTACAACAGTGAAATGCAAAATGACCTTTGCAAAATGTCCAAGAATGCAGTATTTTTTTTAAAAAAATATCTTAGTGAATGGAGATCCAGTACACAGAGGGTTCAGACAATTTGAATAGTTAGTTGGCAAAGGAAGAAAACTAGAGTAAGACTGAAGAAAATAGAGGTTTTGACCCATTGGATGGGATATTATACTATTAATTAGATGTTTGAATACGGTGGAGAATAGATAATTGCTTAGAAATAGAAGTATCATCATAACTAGAAAGATAAGATTGGTAATTAGAATGTTAGATTTTGGTATGAGAAGGGAAACAGGAAAATACTGAGAAGTTTGAAAAAGGGAACCTTTTGGTTATCCAAATATAACTTACTCTGGAATTATAAACAAGAGAGACATTTTGAACACTGATGGGAAATTAAAATTAAAAAAAAGAAGAGAGAAAACAGGATATTGATTGAACATATGGATATTAAGTGCAAATGCAATTAAGATACGTTTGGGTTGGAAAAGATATCTTAAACTGACGTTATTGATATTATCAGAAAAATCTAACAAAGAGGTTGATACTCAATTATATATTTACTAATAAGAATAAGAATTGTATTTGCCTAGTGTGGGAAAACAGATACTATTGGAAAAAAGAGGGGACACATTTGATGGTGTAATATTGGATCTAGACTGAAGAAGTTAATATAGACTATCGAATTACTAATGGACCCAGACAACACGTTGTTTATTAAGTGTTTGACTGTAAAATTAGAAAAGTAATAAAATAATAATAATAATAATAATGATGATGATGATGTTGGAAGGGACCTTGGAGGTCATCTAGTCTTAACCCCCTGCTCAGGCAGGAAACCCTACACCATTTAGGACAAATGGCTGTCCAGTCTCTTCTTAAAAACTTCCAGTGTTGGAGCATTCACCGCTTCTGGAGGCAGGTTGTTCCACTGGTAATAATAATAATAATAATAATAATAATAATAATAATAACAACAATAAAAGACAGAGCCCAAAATTTAGGCCGCTACGCAAAACATTTGTGAAGTGGGTTTTGCCCTATTTTAAGACCTTTTCTTGCCGCAGTTATTAAACGAACTGCAGTTGTTAAATTAGTAACAACACAGTTGTTAAGTGAATCTGGCTTCCTTATTGACCTTGCCTGTCAGAAGGTCACAAAAAAGGATCACACGAACCCCCCCCCCCAGGACACTGCCACCGTCATAAGTACTAGTCAGTTGCCAAGCCTCTGAATTTCGATCACGTGATTAACGGGATGCGGCAAAGGTCATAACGGTGAAAAGCGGTCCTAAGTCAGTTTTTTTTTCCAGTGTCGTTGTAACTTTGCACTGTCACTAAATGAGCTGTTCTAAGTCCTACTAGTTGTGACTTCTGCTGGCTTCAAAGCAAGCAGGGCAAAGAGTAGAGGATTATCTCCTGCAGTTTTTATTTTATTTTATTTTTTTAAAAAAATAAGTCATTCCTTGGATCCCACCGTCCTTTGGGAATTATTTCCATCATGCCAGCAATGCAGCCCAGTGAAAGGGTTCAGATTACTCTGCCGGCTGCAGTGCTGGATGTCAAAGGGATCCCTTTCTCAACAGATCCCCTAGCCAGAATAGAGTGTCACGCACACACATACACAACTTTTCAACAGGCAGGGTCCCCTTTTTATGGGGGAACAACAAGGAACTTGTTGCTAGAAGAGGACAATCAGCCCAGCCAGCAATAAGTTTATGTTTTAATTTATGGGTGATCAACAGAGGAAACCTGAAAACATCAAAGAAAACGCTGAAGTCTCTTTCAAGGTGACATTTTGCCCTGCTGTAAACGTTTGTTGCTTGCAAAAGGGCGGCCAAAGAGCCCCCCCCGCCCAAAAAAACCCCTCAATTACACCTCTTTCCCAAATCTTGAAAAGGTTTTCGGGGGCGTAAGCTAAATAAACGCTCATGCAATTAATCATCAGTGCTTTGGGGGCGGGAAAAAAAAAAGCCCCAAGCAAGAAAATTAAACCCGGTTTACGCACTGATTCATTTATCCAACCTGGAACGGTCAATTCTCAAGCCGCAAAAGGCCAGGAAGGCTTCCAGGAGCTGCCCCTTTAAGCGACTTTTCAAGCCCAGAAGTAAAAAAAAAAAGAAATCTCTTAACTTGCTTCCCGTATTTCTCCTAGTAAAAGTTCGACTTTCACTTTCTCCCCGTTGGCCGTACCTTTTTTTTGTCTTTTCCCTCTGGAGGATTGAAAGCTCCCCCCCACCTCCGGACTGGGTTCCTGCAAACCAACTCAACTTGCTTGTAGACGAGGAAGGCAGAACTGGCAGCTGGGCGCCCCTTTTGCTGAAAGCCAGGCTGCCGGCAGCTCCCTTCGCTAACTCTCGCGGGGCGTGTGAAGCCCGGGCTGCCGGCTCCCTTGCAAAAGAGGCAGAATAGTCGGTCTCTCTTTGCTCTCCTCGCCGGCCGGCCGGCTGCAAAAAAAAGACAAAGGGGAAGTTGGCTTGGAGAAGCCGAGGAGAGGCAAGGAAATGACCCCCCCCCCCCGAGAAGTTAGAGATCTCGTTAAAGGCCGGACGCTCTCCCGGGACCTCGCCTGGCCGGGAGGGGTCCCGCTCCGCCTTACCTGCTCTTCCTTGCGGAGTCTCTCCCCCCCTCCATCCTGGGGGAGGAGCCCAAAGGCGGGGGGAGGGGGGCAAGACGTGCATTTGCACGGAGAGGGGGTGGGTGGGCGAGGGGTAAAAATAGAAAGGTCCGCGGTTGTCCCGGGGGTGGGGGCTTGGCCCGAGAGTGCAGGGCAGAGGTGTGTGTGGGGAGGTCTATGAGCTGGGTGGTTTTCTGGCAGATGTTGCAGGACCCAACAAGGTCACATCATCCGTGCTAGAAGGGGGGGGGAGTTTGGGGAGAGGAGGAAGAGGAGGAGGAAGAAGGTGAGGTCCTTGGTGCTCTCTGAGCTGGATGGTTTTCTGGCAGGCGTCTCGTGACCCAACTAGGGAATGTCATCAGTGCTAGGAGGAAATGAGGTTTGGGAGGAGGAGGAGGAAGGAGAAGAAGGAGAGGTGGAGAAGGAGAAGCAGGAGAGGTGGAGGAGGAGAAGGAAAAGGAGGAGGAGGAGAGGTGGAGAAGGAGAAAGAGAAGAAGGAGAGGAGAGGTGGAGGAGAAGAACAACAAGAGGAAGAAGAACAACAACAAGAGAAGAAGAAGAAGAAGAAGAAGAAGAAGAAGAAGAAGAAGAAGAAGAAGAAGAAGAAGAAGAAGAAGAAGAAGAAGAAGAAGAAGAAGAAGAAGAAGTAACGATGACTGTGGGGTTGTGTTTTGTGCTTTTCTTTCTGATGTTTCATGAGAAACATTCAACTAGGGAATGTCCTCAATGCTGGGAGTGGGATTTGCAGAGAGGAGGAGGAGGAGGAGCAGAAGGGCTGTGAGGTTCTTTGTGTTCTCTGAGCTTGGTGGCTCTCTTGCAAACGCTTCTTCACCCAACTAGGTAACAGCATCAATGCTAGAAGAGAGTAGGGAGGGGAGTGGGGTTTACCAAGAGGAGGAGGTGGAACCCAGAGGCTGTCACGCCTAAGGCAGGACTAGAATTCACGAGTCTCCTGCTTTCTAGCTTGGTGTCCTAACCACTAAGTCACGCTGGCTCTCATCCAGGAAGGAACCTGGTGCAATACTAAAGGAGCCGTTTGAACGACGAGCATCGTAGACTGAGCTCAACTCCGGGGACCATTTGGCGGCAGCTTTCTCTGTGAGGGTAGGAAGTGGTTTGTCTTGGCCTCTGACTTCCTGGGAGGCCTCAACTGAAGGACTAGCCAGGCCCAATGTTGCAGAGTTATTATTATTATTTTTTAATCAGCTAAGTGCTAAGCCCAAGCTGGATAATTGTACATCACAATTAAGCCCTACTGGGGCTTTAATGGGAAAGATGCTTGATTTAAAAAACAAACAAACAACTCTGCTCATTCGTCAACTTCCCGCCGGCTGAAATGTAAAATCCTGCACTCACACATGCAAGTTGCATGCAGAGCAATGCATGCCCAGGGTGTGGAAGAAAACATGAGCTAAAGCTGTCTACTCAGCTGCTGTTTTGATCCCGGAATTTTCCCAGTAGGCTTAACAGAGCTTGAGGGTGTGAGAAACTGACTAGGCCAGGTGATTAGCTAGCAAAAATCACCAGGCCTCCTTTTGCTGCTGCATATAAACTGAGTTAGCAAGGTTGAAATGGTGGTGATGGTGATTGGGGGAGGGGGGTGCACAACACAGGCTTTTAGAGGTAGTCCTCCACTTACGACAGTTCATTTAAGTGAACGTACGATGTTACTAGGGCACCGAAAAAAGTGAATATAGAATAGAATATAGAATAGTCTATAATCCAGTCTAGTCTACTGGAGTCTAATCTAGTCCAAACAAGAGTCTGGAATGTCTAGTATGGAGTTTAGTCTAGAGATCCCATTCTGGATCCAGTCCCAGTGTCTGTTCTAGATCCTACTTTCTGGTTCCTGTTCCAGAAGCACCAGTTCTTGATTCTGTTCTGGACCCCGGGCCAGTCCAAGCATATTCTGGATTCTGCCCTGGATCCTGTCTCCAGAAAAAACAAAAACAAAAAACAAAAACCCTGTTATGGCTCCTGCTCCTAATCCCATCTCTGAGTCTATTCTGGATTCTATTCTTGATCCCATTCCAGAATAAAAGCCTGTTCAGAGCCCACCGATTTGGGGTTTTATTTCAGTCTGTCTATTCTGGATTCTATTCTGGGTCCTGTTCCTTAGTCCATCTATTCTGGATCCTCTTCAGGATCCCCTTTCCCCCCAGAGTCTATTCTGATTCTATTCTGGATCCTCTTCTGGATCCTATTCCAGAGTCTGTTCAGGATTCCATTTTTGATACCTTCCAACAAGCCAAGACAATGGGGAAGTCAGATTCACTCAACAACCTTGTGACTAACTTCCCAACTGCAGATAGATAGATAGATAGATAGATAGATAGATAGATAGATAGATAGATAGATAGGATTAGATAGACAGATGATAGAGAGAGAGATGGACGGACGATAGAGATGATAGGAGACAGAGAATTAAAAATGCTATTTGTGGCTATTTCTAATCCACCGCTTAATTATTGCCAGATTCAAAGTCTGCGTAAAACCAAATGGAAACTTTCGCCTGTTGGCTTCAGGGGCTTTGAATCAGGACAGATTCTTTTCTTATGACATGTTTACTTTCTCAGTCTATTTTTATACTAAAACTTTGTAAGAGTATAAGGGCAGCATTAATTTATAGAAAAGAGCCCGGGAGGGATCCAATAGCGGGACGAAGGAACATTGCGGGCCAGGGATGGTGGCTTTTGCGGAGGAGACAAATTCAGCTGCTTTTATGGGGGGACTTGATGAGTGCACGATTAATGCCACTTTCCAGAAATTGCAAGCTGGTGTGGCATTGTGGTAACAAGTTCATTGCAACAGCACAGGGTGTCCTGTGGTAGTTTAAAGGCTAACAAGCATGCAATGTGGCATGAATTTTCATAAAAGGATTTTAGCAAAAGTATATAGGTGGTCATTTAGTTCAGAATCTATTGATCGCTATCTATCTATCTATCTATCCTATCTATCTAAATCTATACCTATATCAATGTATCTATCTATCTATCTATCTATCTATCTATCTATCTATCTATCTAAATCTATACCTATATCAATGTATCTATCTATCTATCTATCTATCTGTCTGTCTGTCTATCATCTATCTAAATCTATACCTCTATCTATCTATCTATCTATCTATCTATCTATCTATCTGTCTGTCTGTCTGTCTGTCTGTCTGTCTGTCTGTCTGTCTATCATCTATTTAAATCTATACCTCTATCTATCTATCTATCTATCTATCTATCTATCTATCTATCTATCTATCTATCTATCTATCTATCTATCTGTCTGTCTGTCTGTCTATCATCTATCTAAATCTATACCTCTATCTATCTATCTGTCTGTCTGTCTGTCTGTCTATCATCTATCTAAATCTATACCTCTATCTATCTATCTATCTATCTATCTATCTATCTATCTATCTATCTATCTATCTATCTCTATATCAATCTATCTTTATCTATCTATCTATCTGTCTGTCTGTCTGTCTGTCTGTCTATCATCTTTGTCGGCCTATCATTATCCATCCATCCATTCATCATCTTTGTCTATCATTATCTATCCATCCATTCATCCAATCATCTTTGTCTATCATTATCTATCTATCTATCTATCTATCTATCTATCTATCTATCTATCTATCATCTTTGTCAGTCTATCATTATCTACCCATCCATCCATCCGCCTATCATCTTTGTCTATCATTATCTATCTATCCATCCATCACCCCTCCCTCCATCACCTCTCCCTCCATCCTTTCCTTCCTTCCTTCCTTCCTTCCTTCCTTCCTTCCTTCCTCCCTCCCTCCCTCCCTCCCTCTCTCTCTTTCTTTCCTCCAGATATGAGTTATTTCAAATATTGACAACCCAAAGAATAGGCTCCAGTCAACAGAATGTGCATTACAATCTAAGCAGCGTTACAGATTTCAACATATGCCGGAACTGGCTTTAGTTTCACAGCTTTATTTAAAAACTTTCACTTCTGCCTAGTCCCACTGACTCATTGCTTTGCATTAACTGCACCACCAGCTCAAAATAAGACATCCTGTCTCCTTCCACACTTCACGTACACCCTGTTTTCACCAGTAACACAAAAGACACCCCAAGCAGCCGAAAATACAAGAAAACATTTAATCGTTTCGCCTGTGATTGACAAAAGACAACGCCATTTGAAGTGATTGTAAACAAGCTTCATCTTTATAAGCAAATAAATTTTTAAAAACCCACAGTGGTCTTCCTAGCGTGAATATATGAGTTTCTAAAAGCCAGTTGCATTGACCATCAAGTACCAGTACACAATGAGCTTCATCCTGATTAGAAATCATCAGACATAATGTATATATACCCAGATCCTTTGCAAGGGTAGGCAACCTTGGCTTTTATGACTCGAGGACTTCAACTCCCAGAATTCCTGAGCCAGCATGGGGAAGTATGGCCCCTTCATGACTCATGGACTTCAACTCCCAGAATTCCTGAGCCAGCCATGCTGAGGGGAAAGGGAGAGGTTTCCAAGCTGAGCCATGCTGGCTCAGGAATTCTGGGAGCTGAAGTCCACGAGCCATAAAAGAGCCAAGGTTGCCTACCCCTGACCTAGAGAAACATATGAAAGCATAATTAATGTTAATTAATGTAGACTTTATTAGTTTAGAGCAGGAATAGGCAACCTTGGCTCTTTTATGACTCATGGACTTCAACTCCCAGAATTCCTGAGCCAGCCATGCTGAGGGGAATGGGAGAGGTTTCCAAGCTGAGCCATGCTGGCTCAGGAATTCTGGGAATTGAAGTCCATGAGTCATAAAAGAGCCAAGGTTGCCTACCCCAGTTCTATGGGGTTCAAAACCTGCATTTTATTGAATGTTCAGACCTTTGAACTTTTTAAATATCATTCCCCCCCTTTTATATTTTCCTTAGTTTAGTTTCTTAACTTTGTCCAAGGCCCAGAATTAAATCTTGACTGGCTCAAGGTTGACTCAGCCTTCCATCCTTCTGAGGTCGGTAAAATGAGACCCAGATTGTTGGGGGGCAAAAGGCTGACTCTGTAAACCGTTTATAGAGGGCCGTAAAGCGGTATATAAGTCTAACTCAGTGGTTCTCAACCTTTTTAATGCCGCGATCCCCAACTGGTCGTAAGTCGAGGACTACTCAACCGGTCGTAAGTCGAGGACTACTCAACTGGTGCAGAGCCGTTTGCAGAATGGGACTTTTGGCGGGCTCAACAGGACAGAGACAGCCCGGGCAATTCCTATTGGCTTTTGAAAGCCAATAGAATTAGACTCTATTCAAGAGAGTCTATTCTATTGGCTTTCAAAAGCCAATAGAATAAAAGGGAGGAGCACAGCTAAGGAAAAGGGGGGAAAAAATGGCGAACTGCGTTGTTTGGTGACCCCCATGAAATGGTCGTTCGACCCCAAATGGGATCCCGACCCACAGGTTGAGAACCACTGGTCTAAGTGCTATTGCCTGTGGTATTTACACAACAGAATCTTCCCGTCTTGGTTGAAAAACTTTGATTACGTGAACATGCCATGGTTTTATTAGAAGAAAAATCACCTTTAAGTTGTCTGACAATTTAGCCATGGGAAACTTCTTTACCAACTGGATCACTCGCTCAGCCAGTCATTCCGTAAAGAAATTAAATGTCCCTCCCCACTTTATGCATTTTATTTAAGAATACACTATATGGAGATTAAAAGAAGCACAGGTGTGATCACTCCGGTTTCGGCTGCAGTTTGTTCTTCTCTGGCTCGAAGAAATATTTTTCAAGAGCGCTGGTCAGTTCATCCAGTTCTTGCTTCAGCGTTTCAAAATCACTAAAATGAGAATAAGTTGCAGTTAAGATTTAAGCTTCACTTTATAGAGACACTCAAATGCAGAGAGGTGTTAATTCCTTGTGAAGAATGGCAGCAGTCTCCTTTAGGATTGTTAGGACAGATCTAAAGCCTATCAGATAAATCTCTTAACTACAGTCTAATTCAGGGGTAGGCAATCTTGGCTCTTTTATGGCTCGTGGACTTCAACTCCCAGAATTCCTGAGACAGCAGGGCTCAGCATGGAAACCTCTCCCTTTCCCCTCAGCATGGCCGGCTCAGGAATTCTGGGAGTTGAAGTCCACAAGTCATAAAAGAGCCAAGGTTACCTACGTCTGGGCTAGGCCTAGGCTGATTGATGACTCGTGGACTTCAACTCCCAGAATTCCTGAGCCAGCAGGGCTCAGCTTGGAAACCTCTCCTTTCCCCTCAGTGTGGCTGGCTCAGGAATTCTGGGAGTTGAAGTCCACGAGTCATAAAAGAGCCAAGGCTGCCTACCCCTGCTCTAAATTAATAACATCTACATTAATTAACATTAATTATGCTTTCATATGTTCCTCTAGGCCAGGGGTAGGCAACCTTGGCTCTTTTATGGCTCGTGGACTTCAACTCCCAGAATTCCTGAGCCAGCACGGCTCAGCATGGAAACCTCTCCCTTTCCCCTCAGCATGGCTGGCTCAGGAATTCTGGGAGTTGAAGTCCACCAGTCATAAAAGAGCCAAGGTTGCCTACCCCTGGTCTAATTGAACAAATATAATGCCGAATTTCCTTATTATAATCGCTTCTTTGGGGAATTTTATGGGAAGGACCATTTAGGTTGAAAAGCTCTGCTTATCTGCATGCAGAAATCCAGAATAACACATCTAAAACAAACAGCTGTCTAGACACTGTTTAAACACATAAGGCAGGTAAGACAATCACCTTTCCAAAAGTTTAGCTGTGAAACTGTTCTTATTAAGAAAAATTAGTCACTCAGCCATTTCATTGGCGACTCAATTAGAGTACAATTTTCTTATTTACGGCATTTGGTCGAGAACCAGGCTGGTGTAATGGTTAAGGTACCGGGATAAAAACCAAAAGACAGTGAGTTCTAGTCCTGTTTTAGGTATGAAAGCTGATTGGGTGATTTTGGGGCCAATCACCAGGAGATGGTGAATTCTAGTCCTGCTTTAGGTACGAAAGTCGATTGAGTGATTTTAGGCCAATTGCCAGGAGACGGTGAATTCTAGTCCTGCTTTAGGTATAAAAGCTGATTGGGTGATTTTGGGACAATTGCCAGGAGATGGTGAATTCTAGTCCTGCTTTAGGTATGAAAGCTGATTGGGTGATTTCGGGCCAATTGCCAGGAGATGGTGAATTCTAGTCTTACTTTAGGTATGAAAGCTGATTGGGTGATTTTGGGGCCAATCACCAGGAGATGGTGAATTCTAGTCCTGCTTTAGGTATGAAAGCTGATTGGGTGATTTCAGGCCAATCACCAGGAGATGGTGAATTCTAGTCCTGCTTTAGGTATGAAAGCTGATTGGGTGATTTTGGGGCCAATCACCAGGAGATGGTGAATTCTAGTCCTGCTTTAGGTACGAAAGTCGATTGAGTGATTTTAGGCCAATTGCCAGGAGACGGTGAATTCTAGTCCTGCTTTAGGTATAAAAGCTGATTGGGTGATTTTGGGACAATTGCCAGGAAATGGTGAATTCTAGTCCTGCTTTAGGTATGAAAGCTGATTGGGTGATTTCGGGCCAATCGCCAGGAGTGGTGAATTCTAGTCCTGCTTTAGGTATGAAAGCTGATTGGGTGATTTCAAGCCAATCACCAGGAGATGGTGAATTCTAGTCCTGCTTTAGGTATGAAAGCTGATTGGGTGATTTCAGGCCAATCACCAGAAGATAGTGAATTCTAGTCTTACTTTAGGTATGAAAGCTGATTGGGTGATTTTAAGCCAATCCCTTTCTCTCAGTTCCCCTACCTAATAATGTAGTTGCTGTGGAGAACATAGGAGAAGGAAAAAGTATTAGATAGGTTCAAGGCTTTGAATTGCTTATAAAGTAATAAAGGCAGGCTAAAAAAAATAATCTAATAACAAAATTTGAATTCCACGTCTCCTCAAAACAGTGGAAGGGAGAATAAATTAGCTCATTACTTCTTGCCTTACTAAGCCCATTTGTTACACAAAGGCGAAATGTGAAATTATTTCCTGAAGGATACCCAAATGTGTGTGCCTTTTCCCTGATATGCCGGATTAAACCAATTTTATTATAAGCCACCCACAGTCACTTAGGTGTCCGGAGCGGCTGTATAAATCAAGTAAATCTGAATCATATATATCCATGCATTGTGTTGCGTGCTTTGTTTGTATTTGTTTATTCGCAAGGTAGGTCTCGTTCTCTCTCCCTTTCTCCCTCCCTCCCTTCTTTTTCTTTCTTTCCTTTCCTTCCTTTCTTTTAATGAGAATTTCCTATTTTTAAATAAAATAAAATAAAATAAATCCAAACTATACCTGTTTCCCGGAGGTGCGCAAAGTTCTGCATAATATTTGATTTTGGGCTCAGTCCCGCTAGTTCTCATTGTAGCCACACATCCGTTATCGAACGTAAAGGTGATCATTTGGCTGCTCTCACTCGTGGGGAGCACCTGAGACCAGAGAAGGGCAAGAGCACTTAAGACTTATAGACCGCTTTGCAGTGCTTCACAGCCCCCTCTAAGCGGTTTACAGAGTGAGCCTGTTGACCCCCAGCAATCAGAGTCCTCATTTTATCGATCTCGGAAGGATGGAAGGCTGAGTCAAGCTTGAGCCGTTGAGAATCGAACTGCTGGCAGTGGGCAGAGTTAGCCTGCAATGCTGCATTCTAACCACTCAGAAGGAAACGCACGAAAATCACAAAGCAAACCATAAACGATCCGTTGGGAAAAAGAGTTGCGTCCACCTTTCTGAAGTCCTGCACGTTCTTACGATTTCCTTGAACGCTTCCTTCTTATTCCCATTTTAACCTAGTTAGACTCGGGAGCGAAGTCCGCAAAACGTACACCGAGTAGAAGTAAGGAAAGAACGTCTTACTTCCCTGGAGATTCTCGGTTCGTCTCACAGATGCTTTTTTCAAGAAGCAGTTGGACTTTCTGAGTTTTCCCTTGGGAAAGAAGCACAAAACTTTTCCCATGAAGGGAAGAACTGAAGAAGCTTCTGGGATGGGAAGCGAAAAGCCTTCAACCAAAGAACGAAGAAAGCCCAGTTGCTTTTTTTTTAAAAAACAACAACAACAACAAGCACCTTTGAGAGAAGGAGAGAACTCATAAATCTGGGGGGGAAAAATCAACAACAACAAGATTTCAAGGAATACAGTGGAAAAACTTGCCAGCTACTTACAGCTAATTTATCATCCCGGTTACTGTCATAGCCAGTGGTCAGATCTCTGACTCCAGAGACGGGGAATTTTCCACACGTTTTGGGGTAGGTGTTTTCCCCCTCGTAATTCCGAAGCTTCTCAAACAGCGCCGTGACGATCTTCTGATCGTAACAAAGGAAATAGGAAGATTTGGTGATGTGATAACCGTATCTATATAGACAGAGAAAAAAAAGCAGGAAAAATTTGCACTCTCGAGTAGCAGGGGACAAGTTGCAACACAAACATGAATGCACATAGACAGGGCTGGTGTGTAAACAGGAAGTCCTGACTTAACGACTGTAAGTGAGCCCATAATGTCTTCTGCTAAGGGAGACATTTGTTAAGTGAGCTTGGCTTCGTTTTACGACCTTTCTTGGTACACTTATTAAGTGAATCGCTGCCATTGTTAAGTTAGTAACTCAGTTGATTTTTTTTCTTATATAAATATTTTTATTGAGTTTTATAAAGGTAATAAGGGGATAGGGTCAAAAAAGGTAAGACAACGGGAAACATACAAAAAGGTTAGACCGGGGAAAAGGGATAACACAAAAGTGGGATTAATCCCACAAAATAACATCGCTTCAGCAAAGTCTACCAGTCTGGGTTTACATATTAAATCTTAATAATTACTCTATTATTAAACAACTTTCCATATAATCACGTAAATAACAAATTAGTCAATAAATCTCATTCATTTCACTACTTGAATTCTTGTTTTTTTTGTTGTTGCTTAATATTAATTAATTATAATCACTTAAAAATAATAATATATTACATATTAATTATAGTTTACCATATTATTTAAGATCACAAATATACAAAGAGGAAGAAGAAATAAGAACAAATTCATACAAATAATCATGGAATATAAATACCATTTATCAACTGATATTATTTTTTTTAATTATTTTTATTAATCAATTGATATTTTATCAATTATCTCTTTAAATTTCATAACCTTTTCTCACTCTAGCGTGTTTCTAACCAATAATAAAAATTTCCCCATGTTTTAAAGCAAATTGTGTCTTCTTTCTCTTTCATTTCTAAAGTCAGTCTATCCATTTCTGCACATTCGAGTATTTCTCTTATTATAGCCTGGTCAGATGGTAAATTTTCATTTTTCCAAAATTGGGCAAATATTATTCTTGCAGCTGTCAGCACATGCAATATTAAATACTCATTCTCTTTTCCATAATTCAAACCTAATATTCATAACAAACAGAGAATAACTCTGTTGTTAAGTGAATCTGACAAGCCTTTGCTTGTCAGAAATGTTTTAGATACTTAAATGTGACTGAATGTAAAAAAATTATTTCAAAAAAATGTTTTAAATAAGAGTTAAAGGACTAGATGACTAGATGTATTGAATGGAATGTTTAAAGATTAAAGATTAAATATATTCTTAATTATGGTTAAAAAGAATAAGAAATTAAGGAAATAAATATATATTAGCCTAGGAGGGGATATATATTTTAAATAGTATGTTATTTCTTATGTTTCTTTATTCTTGCTCTCCTTTCTTTTTCCTCTTCTCTCTTTTTTTTCATTGTTTTATCTATTTCTTAAGAAATGTAAAAGTGTGAGATGGCTTATGTGGAAAAAATAGAGTTAAATTTGTAAATGTAAAATGTAATTAATTTTTGAGAAAATCTTCACCAGTAAGAATATCTAGAATTTGGCGGGAGAAATAAACTAAAATAAGGATTGTTAACAGGACCTATGATAAGGCAACCAGAATGCTTGAATAGAAAAGAAATATTATACTAATATGATGATTATTTTTAGGAATATTGGGGGAAAAATTATACAGTACATTCAATTGTTATTTCTCGAAACAGTAAGAATTGTATTAAATCAATGTTTGCAAAAGAGGTTGCTTTGGGGAAAGGAAATCAACTAAAATTAATATGTGGAATATGGATTATAGATTATTAATGATTGTTTTATAAATGTAATCCAGGCAACACACTGTTCGCCAATTATTGAGTGATTTATGTATTTTTTTAAAAAATCAATAAAATATATTTTTAAAAAAAGGTTGCAAAAGGGGATCACATGACCCCGGGGATGCTGCAACCGTCGTAAATACGAGTCAGTTGCCAAGAATCTGAATTTTGATCATGTGGCCGTCGGAATGCAGCAATGGTTGTTAAGTGTGAAAAATGGTCGTTGGTCACTTTTTTCAGCCCCATTGTAACCTCGAACAGTCACTAAGGAAACTGTTATGGTTCCGACAGATGAAACTCTTCAAAGAGCTTCGAGGCATTGTTTACCTTAAAGGATCTTTTATTCGAGAAACAAAGTATCGGCACTACATAGTTAAAGCCAAAAACTGAATTCTCCTCCCCTGAGCACAAAGTAGTAAAGCACAATTCCCTCCTCCAGTTAACAGTAATAAATCACATTCTCCAATTAGTTTGAAATGCAGGCTTCCCCTCCAGTTCTCCAGCTCCGCCAATCTTTACCATCTCTTATTTCAATAACCTTGGTTCTCACACTAGGTCCAGTATTGTTATGTCTAGCTAAACTCTCATGCACATTCCTCCCCCCAGCATCATCTAACTCTAACTCTAAGAGTAAAACATAAGAAGAAAATGGTTGCATCTCCAACTGTTGTCCAAGCAAAATATCCGATGTTAGCAGCGTTGACATCACTGCTGTTAAATTGAGGACTATCTGTAAGGTAAATGTAAAAAACATTCAGCAGTTCGTTCAGTTATACTCACTCTGTGTAAATGTTTTTCAGCTGTTGAGACAGAGTCACGTTCTTGGTGGCCAAAAAGCTAGACATCTCCGCGGTTATGACGGCCGCGCTGATGCCATCTTTATCCAGTACTAGGGGGCTGCACATGTATCCTGAAAGTTTACAGAAAGAAAACCAAAAACTGTTTGTAAAAATACTCCGACTGCAAGTGCACATAAAATAGTTTTCATACTGTAAGGGACACAGACTGCAAACCTGCTTTAATTCGGTGCGCTAATTAGCCTTGTTTGGTAAAGAGGATTGCAAATGAAATCTTTGATGAAATCACAGACGGAAGAATAATTTGGCTTGAGGAAAGAGTACAGCTTCCATCCTCTGTAGCAATAAGCAGCCTGTATTCATTTTTAATAGCAGAGAATATTTGTAACTCAAGGTTGAACTGTGGGGTCCTTGGTGCTCTCTGAGCTGGGTGGTTTTTTTGCAGACGTTTCATGATCCAACTAGATAACATGATCAGTGGTATAAGCTGCACTAGATACCTGAATTAATCTCCCTTCCCTTCTAGCACTGATGCTGTTACCTAGTTGGGTCATGAAACATCTATAAAGAAATAATCAAGCTCAGAGAGCAGCAAGGACCCCACAAGTTGCCTTCCTCCTCTTCCTCTTCAAATTCCTCCTCCTCTTTCTCAAACTCCATCCCCTTCTACCACTGATGATGTTAGTTAGTTGGGTCATGAAATGTCTGCAAGTCAACAACCCAGCTCAGAGAGCACCAAGGACCCCACAGTTGTCATCCTTCTCTTCCTCCTTCTCCTCCTCTTCCTCCTCCAACTCATCCTGCTCAAACGTCTCCCTTTCCTCCTCCTCAAACTTCATCCCCTTCTAGCACTGTTGATGTTACCTAATTGGGTCATGAAACGTCTGCAAGAAAACCACCCAGCTCAGAGAGCACCAAGGACCCCATAGATTGTCCTTAAGATTGATGTGTTTAACCTAAATACTGCTTGTATTGCAGTTTTAAAAGACATCTTATCCTTTTAAAAGCAAAGGTGAGAAAGATTTTCCTTTCATCCTTTACTGAAATAAAGGGATGTTCCACGCAACATGCAAAAAAGGTACTTCTGACGGCTAATAAGAATGACAGAGCAACCTTATATTATTTTGCAGATAAGGACAAAAGTTATCCCAAAGATGCTTTTTTACAAGGCAACTGGACTTTCTTGTTTTTCTTGGAAGACGTTTTGCTTCTCATCTGGAAGGAAGTCAGAGCTGTAGCAGCTTCTTGGATGAGAAACAAAACATTGAATGTTTTTGCATTGACAACAGAGGGAAATGTAGCCATCTTTTATATTTTGCTTTTAGAGTTAGATGATGCAGGGAGGAGGGGATGTGAACGAGAGTCCAGCTAGACATAACAACACTAGACCTATCGTGAGAATCAAGGTTATTGTAAGCAGAGCGGATAAGGAATTGGCGGTCTGGAGAGCTGGAGAGGAAGCCCACACTTCAAGCTAATTGGGGAATGTGATTTATGACTGTTAATTGGAGGAGGGAATCGTGCTTTGATACTGTATGCCCTGGGGAGGGGAATTCAGTTTGTGGCTTCGATTACGCAGTGCCGATGTTACGTCACTCAACATGAAGATTCTTTAAGGTAAACAATGCCTCAAAGTTCTTTTGAAGAGTTTCATCTGTCAGAACCATGACATTATAGCTATGTTCCTTGACTATTTCATAATAAGCATATTACCGATGGCTTCTTCAAAAGCGAATAAGACATTTTTCCCTTGGTCTATCAGCTGCTTGGCGCGGTTTCCCATCCACTTAAATCCTGTTAGTGTTTCCTGTATTGATCAAAGTTCAGTGATAAAATATATGAGAACAGAAGGGAAATTCCTTTCAAAGATATACCTACAAAAGATACATTTATTAGCTCCTAAGCAGAGATAGGCAACCTTGGCTCTTTTATGACTCGTGGACTTCAATTCCCAGAATTCCTGAGCCAGCACGGCTCAGCTTGGAAACTCTCTCTTTTCCCCTCAGCATGGCTGGCTCAGGAATTCTGGGAAGTCCACGAGTCATAAAAGAGCCAAGGTTGCCTACCCCTGCCCTAAGGGACATCAGAAATACATGGTTGAGTGTCAATCACCATGTGCAGCAATATTATTACAGTAATTGTCAACTTCAAACAGTTTGTTCAGCGTCTGTTCGAAATTACAATGGTGCTGAAAACCCTGACTTAATAACCACTGCAGCATCTCCAGTGTCAGGGGAATAAAATTCGGGTGCTTGGTAACCGACTCCTATTTACGACGGTCTCAGTGTCCCGGGGTCCCACGTCCTTCTGACAAGCCAAGTAAAGGGGAAATCCGATTCGCTTAACAACGTGCTAGTAACTTAAGAGCTGCAGTGATCCACTCAATAACGGGGACAAGAAAGCTCATCAAAGGGGGCCGAATTCACTTAAACAAATGTTTCGAGAAATGTTGGCTGTCTGTTGAGATCGTAGGTCGAGGACCAGCCAAAAAGGGAAGCTTGAAAGGAACTTGACCCTCACCTCAAAGTGGAAACCTTCCTTCAAAGCAATTGCTTGCAATATTTTGGAGGAGACGGTGCTGGATAACATATAGACGTCTTTGATGGCATCCGGAGTCTGATTTTTATTTTTCCAGCACGTGAACAGCCACCATCCTAAAAGAGCTCCGGTTTCGTTGCCGGAAAACACTTTCCATTCTCCACTGCAGAGGGGAGAGAAGCTTCAGCGGTTAAGAGACAGGAATGTGGCGACGTAAAATAGGTCAGCAAAGCTGGAGCAGTAGCTACAATTGCGCTAATTCTAATTCGACACTGATTCGATTTTTCTTAGTGCCCCCACTTGCAAAATCTTTCGTTAAACGATCGTTCGAATTTACGACGGCATTGAAGTTTTTCACACTTACGAATCCCAGTGGTGGTATTCGGCCGATTTGCACCACTGCGGCAGAACTGGTAGCTAATTTTTTGTTGGCCAGGCCCAGAATGGACTTCCGGATGCGGCATCCACATAGAGAACCAGTTGTTCACATATTTGAATCCCACCACTCCTTCCTTCCTTCCTTCCTTCCTTCCTTCCTTCCTTCCTTCCTTCCTTCCTTCCTTCCTTCCTTCCTTCCTTCCTATGGTAGGATTCAGGCAGTTTGCACCGGTTTGGCAGTAGCTAATTTTTTGTCGCCCAGGCCCAGAACGGACTTCCGGAAGTGACATCCACACAGAGAACCGGTTGTTCACATATTTGAATCCTACCACTCCTCCTTTCCTTCCTTCCTTTCCTTCCTTTCCTTCCTTCCTTCCTTCCTTCCTTCCTTCCTTCCTTCCTTCCTTCCTTCCTTCCTTCCATAGGATCCAGCCAGTTCACACCACTTCGGCAGAACCGGTAGTTAATTTTTTTGTTGCCCAGGCCCAGAACGGACTTCCGGATGCGACATCCACACAGAGAACTGGTTGTTCACGAATTTGAATCCCACCACTGCTTACAACCCGTTGCTGCCTTCCCTTGGTCACGTGATCAAAATTCGGACGCTTGGCAACTGACTCATATTTATGATGGTCGCAGCGTCCCGGGGTTATGTGATTCCCTTTTGCGACCTTCTGACAAGTAAAGTCAATGGGGGAAGCCTGATCCACTTAAGGACCGTGTGTGTGACTAACAACTGCAGCGATTCGCTTAACAACGGTGACCAGAAAGGTCGTAAAGTGGGTGCAAAAAACTCACTTAACCAATGTCTCACTTAGCAACAGAAATTTTGGGCTGGATTGTGGTCGCATGCCGAGGACTAATGGTACCCTGATTCTGATTCTACACTCATTTTATTTTGCTTTACACGCAGTCCTCGACTTACACTCATTCGTTAAGTGAATGTTCGAAGTTAGGACGGCCCTGAAGAAGTGACTTATGACCGATTTTCACATTTACGTCCGTTGCTGCCTCCCCACGGTCACGTGATCAAAATTCGCCTGCTTGGCAACTGACTCGTATTTACGATGGCCGCAGTATCCCTGGGGGGGATCACGTGATCCCCTTTTGGGAACTTCTGACAAGCAAAGTCCATGGGAAAGCCAGATTCACTTAACCTTGTTACTCTCTTAACAACGGGTAGTGTGAAAAAAGTGGTAAAACGGGACAAAGCTCCCTTAACAAATGTCTCACTTAGCAACCAAAAATGTTGGGCTCAGTTTTGGCCATAACTCAAGGACTATCGGTATTAGAGTTATCGATTTAAATCTTAGATTTATCTGCCGCCAATTTGTTTTTATACGTTGTTCACCACGTCAATTTACCATACCTATATTCAATTCGAGTAAATGTGGGCTCTAATGAAAAGAGTATTTGAATAGTTAAGAAAAAAATATACTTTTCTTAAAAAAATAAAATCTATTTAATACCTCTGGGGTGTTCCTCCCAAACACAGGAAAATTAAGTTTGGTAATCCACAAACTAACCTTTCTTGTTTCTCTGCCACGGCCAGGCGATCAGCATCTGGGTCGTTGGCTAAAATAATTCGAGCGCCTTCTTTGTCAGCCAGAGCAAAAGACAGAGTCTGGATGGAGAAAATGACACAAATTATACCTTAATAAGGAAACCAACAAACACATTTTCTATGTCCACCATAACAGGCACTGACAGTCAGAATTAGGACAATTCGCCACAGCCATTTCGCGGGACAATTCCACAATTCAATTTAATTACTGAAAATAACTTAAAAATCACTTTAAATGTTTGCCATTCACATTTCATTCCTTTCCCTCCCTCCTTTCCCATCCTTTCTTTAATGATTCTGTAGAGGTGGGGGCTAGGCAGAGGTCGTGTGCAGAAAACTGCCCTTCCAACGCCTGTGTGCCCCTCCTCTCTGCATCTATCTCATTCCTTCACATCACCAGGGCGATGTGAAAGTACGCAGGCTTGTGCAATGACCTTGCCTGCTTGATATCAGCTAGCTCACACCAACAAGATGTTATTGCCAACTGCTCCCTGTTTTGTGCCTCTGGCTTCTGTATTCTTAAGGATTGGTTAGGAGTTTAACCAATGAAATACTATTGTCATACAGAACTTTTGCTGCTTGTAAAACTGTATATAAACAATAAAATGCTGCGTACGAGCAGCTATATTTGCACCCTGCAATGACTGAGCACTGATTACTACAGATTCTGTCCCACCATGGCTTTGATCTTAGTGTTTAACTCATCCTGTGGCAAGCGGTCCCCGCAAAGATCTGAAAATCTGGATGACAATGCCAAAGCCGCGAGAAAAAAAAAGTGCAAATCGTTTCGGAAGCGTGATCTCGTTTAACGGCCCAACATGCGAAAAAAAAAAAAAAAAAGACGAAGGAGTCACTCCTGCGAGCTGGTTGCCTGCAAAGTTGCTGGGAAATTAGAAGCCGGAAGAAGCAAAGGAAACAGGCTAGCGTCTTTTTGAGATCGACAAAGCATACGCAAGAATTTTTTAAAAAAATGGAGATAGAACTAAGCTTTAGTTGCAAAGGAACGGTCTGAAGGGATAGGAGACAAATGAAGATGGAAGAAAATGTACTAAAAATGGAGATAGAACTAAGCTTTAGTTGCGAAGGAACTGTCAAGTGTCTGACTAATGAAACACTTCAAAGAACTTTCAGGCATTGTTTAACCTAAAAAGCCTTTATTAGTGTAGAGGAGTGTCAGCATGGCATGGAGAATGCCAAGATCTGAATTTCCCTTCCTTTGCACATAACATTCTAGGCATTTCCCCTCCCCTATTTTGTGGTCATGATTCACATCTTCCAATTAACCTGGAGGGCAAAGATTCACTTCCGTTCCCTTCCGTGCGCTTTTCTCTACTCTCTCATTCTCATCTGAATTAACTCTAAAAGTACCAGACAGTTCTGCATATTTTGTCAAAGCAAGACTATTCAATATTAGCAGCGTTGACAGAAACATTTGAAGAGACAGGAGACAAATGAAGATGGAAGAAAATGTACTAAAAAGGGAGACAGAATAAGCTTTAGTTGCAAAAGAACGTCTGAAGGGACAGGAGACAAATGAAGATGGAAGAAAATGTACCGTATTTTCCGGCGTATAAGACGACCCCCGACTTCGGAGAAGATTTGCATGGTTCAGAAAGTCGTCTTGTACGCCAGAAAATATGGTATTTTCCGGTGTATAAGACGACTCGGCGTATAAGATGACCCCCGACTTCGGAGAAGATTTGCATGGCTAGAAAGTCATCTTATACGCCAGAAAATACAGTATTTTCCGGCATATAAGACGACTCGGCATATAAGACGATCCCCGGCTTCAGAGATTTGCATGGTTTAGAAAGTCACCCTATACGCTGGAAAATACAGTATTAAAAAGGGAGACAGAATAAGCTTTAGTTGCAAAAGAACATCTGAAGGGACAGGAGACAAATGAAGATGGAAGAAAATGTACTAAATAATCTTTTCACCAACCAAGACACCTTTCCCCTCCTCTGGATTTGGGTATTTGACGGTGGGAAACTCCGGATCGGGGTCCTTCTGCTCGGGAACAGCAATCGGAGGGCTGAAGCCAAAAGCCTTGAAGGCTGACTGCACAAACTCATGGCCCACACCGTGCACAGAGGTGTGAACAAATTTCAACTTAGTCTCCTTGTTGATATCCCTAAAATCAAGTAACATGAGTGACATTCAGCTGGTGGCAGATTTTCTGCCACGAGGAACAAAAAAAAAAAAAAAAAAAGGAGGGGGAACTCATCAAGGGGAGAAGCAACCTAGAACTGAGGAGAAACTTCCCGACAGTTAGAACAATTAACCAGTGGAACAACCTGCCACTAGGAGTTGTGAATGCTCCAACACTGGAAGTTTTTTTTTTATTGAAAATTTTTAGATTTTACAAAACAATACAAATCCCTTCCCCACCCCCACCCCCACCCTGCCCTCCCCTCCCCTCCCCCAACCTTCCCAGAGCTGAATACAGGCTTAGTTAAATTTTTTTCAAAAATTCTTAAAACAAATATAAACCATAAACAAATCTAAATGCATTAATTAAACAAGTTATAAAATAGTTAACAATAATATATGTATAAAAAGACAAAAATACAAAGAAATACAAAAAAATAAAAAGAAAGAAAAAGAAGAAAAAATAAAAAAAGAAAAAATAAGTCTAAAAAAATCTATAAAGTCTATGAAATATCTTAAGTTTTAAATATAAGTTATTGAAAAGCTAAATAATATTTTTTATTACTTATATTGTATAAAGTCTATCCATTTTTTCCATACCAAAAAATACTTCTCTTGCGATTGGTCTTTCAAGAAAGCCGAGATCTTTGCCATTTCCGCCAAATAAGAGACTTTAAAAAACCACTCTTGTAAAGTAGGCAAAGATTCCTTCTTCCAACATTGCCCTACTAACAACCTTGCCGCTGTGATTAAATTTAACATCAATGTAATCTCTTTAGTATCACAATCAGAAACAATACCTAACAAAAACAATTGTGGGGTAAATTTTATCCTTCTTCTAAAAATTCTTTGGATATTCCACCATATCTTAATCCAAAAAGCTTTTATATTTTTACATGACCACCAAATATGATAATAAGTAGCATCCAAACATGCACATCTCCAACATTTAGGCTGTAAGTCAGGATACATACGAGACATTTTTTGTGGATCAAGGTGCCATCTATAAAACATTTTATAAAAATTTTCCCTTAAATTTTGGGCTTGTGTAAATTTAACATTCCTCACCCAAATAATTTCCCAAGTATCTAATAAAACCGGTTCTTCAAAATTTTGTGCCCATTTAACCATGCATTCTTTAACTAATTCTGCTTCTGAATCCAATTCTACTAACACCCCATAGATTCTCTTAATATGAGTTCGTCTTTGATCTTTTATTTGTTTTAATAAATTGTCATCTTCTCTAAGTAAACCCACATTACAATCTATCTTCCACCTCTCCACTATTTGTCTATAATAAAACCATGAATAAATAATATTTTCTTGTATTAAATCTTCCAAAGATTTTAATTGCCAATTTTTACCATTCCATCTAAGTAATTGTGCATAAGAAACATTATCCATCTTAACTCCTCTCCTTATCCCTTCTATCGCATGCCCCGGTATAGCCCATAACGGAATTTTAAAATCACTTCTATAATATTTCCTCCAAACTCGAAGTAAAGAAATCCTTATAATATGAGATTTAAAGGCCCTATCAACCTTTTTATTAAAAATTAAATAGGCATGAACACTGGAAGTTTTTAAGAAGAGACTGGACAGCTATTTGCCTGAAATGGTATAAGGCCGTGGTGGCGAACCTATGGCATGCGTGCCACAGGTGGCACGTAGAGCCCTCTCTGTGGGCACGCGCGCCGTCGCCCCAGTCCTAGGCCTTCAGCTGGGTTTTATAAAACCTTTTCGCTTTAGGTCTCTGCCGCCTTGTGCAAAAAAAAAAAAAAAAAAAAAAAAAAAAAAGTTCAATCAATCAATCAATCAGTTTCAACTTCTTGCGGGGGAAAAAAAAGATCTCACAAAGTTGGAATTGATTGATTGAACTTTTTAGTCCCACCCAGTCTGCCATTACCACTGCAGCCATGCCCACCCAATGGGCCAGGCTCACCCAAATGGCCACACCCACCCAATGGGCCACGTCCACCCAACGATACATAAGTGGGTTTTGGGTTGCAGTTTGGGCACTCGGTCTCTAAAAGGTTCGCCATCACTGGTGTAGGGTTTCCTGCCTGAGCAGGGGATTGGACTAGATGACCTCCAAGGTCCCTCCCAACATTATTATTATATTATTGATCATTGCACAGTCAGCCAGATGTTCAGACTGGATTTGGCATTATTGTTATTATTATCGCTTATAAACTGCTCAGTTCATTTAGTGACCGTTTGAAATGACAAAGTCACTGAAAAATGTGACATGACCGTTTTTTTCACACTTACGACCGTTGCAACCTTCCACCCCCCCGTAGTCACGTGATCAAAATTTGGCTGCTTGGCAACTGACTCGTATTTATGACGGTCACAACCTCCTGGGGGATCATGTGATCCCCATTTGTGGCCTCCTGACAAGGGGGAGGGAGCCAGATTCCTTTAACAACAGTGCTACTAACTGAACACCTGCAGTGACTCACTTAACAATCGGGGCGAGGACGATCGTAAAATTGAGCCAAGCTCAGTGAATGAATGTCTCCCTTAGCCACACGAAAGTTTGGCCTCAACTCTGATCCTAAGTCGAGCACAATCTGTGTTAGCGATTTGCGCTACGGTACAATTTTAAATTGTGTAATGCTTCTGTTTTTATTCCATTTTTCACTTCTGTTCTCGGCTCGGTGTCGTTTCTTGAGAAGAGCGGCCCCCCTAAACAGAATTAAAGAAAGCCCACTCACCTGTGATAACAATGCCTCTGTATATCTTTGAAGTAATGCTGGTTAACCGTCGCAAAAGTTTGGTGGAGAAAAGGGCTTTGGTCAACAAGGCTGTCCTCCCAAGCTTGAGGCCAGGGTTCCAGGTTCTCGTTAATGGCCTCAGCAATTCCTCTGTCGTGCGGACCGATGATCTGGGAGCCATTTTCCCAATAGACCTGAAGGCCGCAGTGAGATATCAGCAGAGGTTTAATTTTTACTTGTTATTAGCAGACGTTTCGGCTTGAGCTGTTATTTAAATTCACCCTAATATCCCTGGAATTAACTGAAAGTCTGTCTGTCTAGACGTCTGTCTGTCTGTCTGTCTGTCTGTCTATCCATCCATCCATCCATCCATCCATCCATCCATCCATCCATCCATCCATCCATCCATCCATCCATCCATCCATCTATCCATCTATCCATCTATCCATCTATCTATCTATCTATCTATCTATCTATCTATCTATCTATCATCTACCTACCTATATCTTCTATCATATCTATGTAGGTCTTTGGTTATTCAGGTTTTCTCCCACGTCAAATTGGAAGTGTCTTGGTAACGTTTCGACAAAATCTCATTCGTCATCTTCAGGCTGGTGTTTTTGGCTTCATGCTCCTAGAAGCATGAAGCCGAAAACACCAGCCTGAAGATGACGAATGAGACTTCGTCGAAACATCGCCAAGACACTTCCAATTTGACGTGGGAGAAAACCCGAATAATCAAAGACCTACATACAAACACCTGCAAAAACCTCAGAAAACAAATATCATATCTATCTATCTATCTATCTATCTATCTATCTATCTATCTATCTATCTATCTATCTATCTATCTATCTACCTTTTATTTAGTTACATACTGCCTCTACTCTTTATAAACAACTCAACGCTTGGACATATCTACTAATCCTTCCTCCTATTTTTCACACAACACAGCACTGCACAACTGTGAGGTGGGTTAGGCCAGCTGGCTCTCATGCCTAAGCAGGACTAGAACTCACTGTCTCCTGGTGATTCGTCCAAAGCCCCCCAGCTGGCTTTCACACCTAAGGCAGAACTAGAACTCACTGTCTCCTGATGATTGACCCAGTCACTCAGCCACCTTTTACGCCTAAGGCAGAACTAGAACTCACCATCTCCCGGTGACTGGCCCAAAGTCACTCAGTCAGTTTTCGTGCGTAAGGCAGGACTAGAATTCACCGCCTCCTGGCGATTGCCCCAAAATCACCCAGTCAGCTTTTGTGACTAAGGTGGGACTACAACTCACCGTCTCCTGGTTCCTAGCCTGCCACTGTAACCACTAATGCTTTAATCCATCCCAAGACAATTCTGCCAGGAAAACTAAGCAAGGGAATACCTTATATCCATTATCTTGTTTGGGATTATGAGAGGCAGTCACCATAATTCCAGCGGCAAGTTTGAGGTGGTTCACTGTATATGGCTAGAGAAAATCAGAAGAAAATTATTAGGAAGAAAGGAGGCCGAGGTCCACGGAGATTCTCAATCTTCCAGATCATGGTTGTCCCTTTTTCAGGAGGCAACTGGACTTTTCTTGTTTTTCTCTGAAGACGTTTCGCTTCTCCTCCCAGGAGCTTCTACAGCTCTGACTGAATTGATGGGGAATGGAAGGGTTTATATTTATATTCCTTGCAGACCGCTGGTCATTTGCCTTCTTTTAGAGGGTCGTTGAGGCCACTTGGAGTTTTGTCTGTGTCCTCAGGGTCCAAGTGACCTCAATGACTCTCTAAAAGGAAGGCCTGACAGGAAGAAAGATGGCTGAGCTTCTTTTTACCTCAGCCCAAAGGTGCTTTTTCATGAGGTAACTGGACTTTCTTGTTTTCCTTTGAAGACGTTTTGCTTCTCCTCCCAGAAGCTTCTTCAGCTCCGACTGGATGGTGGGGAACGGAAGGATTTATACTCCTTGCAGACAGCTGGTCATTTGCCTCCTTTTAGAGAGTCGTTGAGGCCACTTGGAGGCTTATCTGTGTCCTCAGTCCCTTGAGTGGTGCAAATGAGCGTGGAGCCTCCTTGGGACTGCTGAGGGGATTGTGTTGTGGAGCTGTCCTTTCTGCAGTGTGTTTTCTTCCCTGTGTCCTTTTCACTGAAAAAGCACCTTTCTGACCACCATGACCTGGATGACGGAGAATCCCCATCGACATTTAGCCCTTTGGGATAAACACCCTTGGTATGGTGTGGGCGTATGAACGGATTTCCAGAAAACATGGCAGACCGCAGGAACCATTTGCGCTTCAGTTTGAGCTTCAGACAACACAGACACATCCCCAACAGCCTCCACCTGTCTCCAACAGTGAAGGGACCCAGTGTAGAAAACATCCTGTAGCCATTTGCACCACTCAGGTGACCCGGAGGACACACGTAAGCCTCCAGGTGGCATCCACGACTCTCTAAAAGGATGCAAATGACCAACTGTCTGCAAGGAGTATAAATCCTTCCATCTTTCACCATCCAGTCAGAGCTGAAGAAGCTTCTGGGGATGAGAAGCGAAATGTCTTCAAAGAAAAACAAGAAAGTCCAGTTGCCTTCTGGGGGAAAAAAAAGCATCTTTGGGATAAATTTCACCTCCACTCCTTCTGGTGACATCTGCACTCCACTGGAAGTCTACCTGCCTTCCCAAAATGAGACGACACAGGCTGGGGTGTGTTTGTGTGTGACTTCCAATGTTACCCACCTCGCTACAAAGCAACAACTTTGAACAAGCAGAGGGAAGACTCCTAAGACCCCGTCAGTCTCCACCATGGCTTAAATTCACCAGAGGTCAATGGTTTTCAAACTGCATAGGGACTCCTCAACTTAACAACAGTTTATTTAAGGACCGTTTGAAGTTATGACATCACTGGGGAAAAAGTGACTTTCACGGGTCGCAAAACGGGGCAAAACTCACTTAAGAAACATCTTGCTTAGCAATAGAAAGTTTGTGGCTGTACGTTGAGGACTACCTGTATAAGAAATAACCATATATTTATGATTTCACGGGTACGTTTATGTTGTAATGATACCCAAAATGCCTTGTTGAGGCGGATGGCTGTAGAAATCAAACAAATAAACAGAGTTTTGGGGATGCTGCTGAAGTAATAACAACAACAACAACAACAACAATTGTAGTGGATATGGCAGTGCCTGCAGACAGCAGAATAAACGAGAAAACTGGAAAAGGTAACAAAATACAAAGACCTACAAATAGAAATAGAAAGACTGTGGCAAAGGCAAGCAAGGGTAGTACCAATAGTAACAGGCTCCTTGGGTGCAATCCCAAAACAACTAGAGCACTTGAACACCATTGGCATTGACAAATTCGTCATTAGTCAATTGCAAAAGGCGGCCTTACTAGGAACTGCTTCCATCCTGCGACGATATCTGTAACACCATCAAACATCCACATCTGCCTATCCCAGGTCCTTGGTAAGGACTCAATAGGTAGACAAAATGCCAAATCCAGTTTGAACATCTGGCTGACTGTGCAATGATCCATAATAATGTCTAACTGACTGCAAAGCTAGACATGACCGAGTTGCTAAATTAATCCACTGGGCATTGTTTAAAAAAAACAACACAACTTGTCTGTGTCCGAAAAGTCATGGGAACATAGGGTGGAAAAAGTTGTTGAGAATGAGAGGGTGAAGATCTTATAGGACTTTCGAATACAGACAGATCGCTATTGGGAACACAGCATGCCAGATACCGCAGTTCGTTCACTAAGCAAACTGTTGTAAGTTGAGGACTACCTGTACTTCATCACTTTTTTCCTTTTTTTTTGTTTTTTTAAGGTCATCAAGTTTTTGACACCTTGCTAGGCGACTGATGGTCCTCGGATGTTGCCATATCCTAAAAGTGGTACAATGAGTGAGAAGGTTGAAAAACCCCGGCCTAGAGCTCTGAAAGGGTCACCACCTCCGATACACACTCCTTGTTCGTGGCCAGCTCAAGTTTCAGAACGTCCATTTTAGTCTCTAGGGAGTGAACGATGGCAAACAGGACAGATGGAAACGGAGCTCCATGTTTGATTAGCCCTCAAATTAGCTTGTATTCCTATATCATTCTATCTGGCTTTCATCGGAGGAACACGTGAGCGACAGAAAGGGCAACGAAAACCCTACCACAAAAGGAGTAGGTGTGATCTGGGAGAAAAGGTAGACAGGAATACCCTGGGTCAGGAACGTCGTGGCAGCGAGTCTTGCAAACCTGTTAGTCCAGAAAGGAGAGGGAAAAAAAATAAATAAAACCAGTCAGACTTGAATTCTAACACAACAAACTTCACCTTGCTGCTGTGTTTAGTTGACCCCTGAAGCCACTTTTTTTTCCTTCGACGTTTACCCCCAAAGAAACGTTTTATGTTTTATAACCGAAGCTGGCATAAAAATTTAATAAAGTAGTAAATAAAATAAATCAGCTCTATCGAATGGATGTATTGGTTGACCCGTGAACACATTTAGGAATAAATCAATATATTCCCCATTGTAAGCCTACAATACAAGTATCCTGGAAAAACATATTGCTGTTAAACGTTGTGGCTTTATAACACTAAGGCTTCCTCTCCTTTCCTCCTTTATCTATTTGTATCCCACTTTTATTTTGTTTTTATAAATAACTTAAGTAGGAGGGACGGACATATCCAACACAATCCTCCTATTTTCCGTACAACAGCTATATTTTGTGTGAGAGTGACTGGTCCAAAGTCACCCTGCTGGTTTTCAGGCCTAAGGCGGGACTAGAATTCACCATCTCCTGGTGATTGGCCCAAAGTCACCCAGCCGGCTTTCATGCTTAAAGCGGGACTAGAACTCACCATCTCTTGGTGAGTGGCCCAAAGTCACCCAGATGGCTTTCATGCTTAAGGCGGGACTAGAACTCACCATCTCCTGGTGATTGGCCCAAAGTCACCCAGACGGCTTTCATGCTTAAGGCGGGACTGGAACTCACCATCTCTTGGTGATTGGCCCAAAGTCACCCAGACGGCTTTTATGTCTAAGGCAGAACTAGAACTCCCAGGTTCCCAGTTTCTAATCCAATGCCTGAATCATTACACCTGATTCTCTTGACCTCTAGAGCAATAGCACTGAGACTTATATACCGCCCTACAATGCTTTACAGCCCTCTCTAAGCAGTTTACAGAGTCAGCCTTTTACTCCCCAACAATCGGGGTCCTCCTTTTACCGACCTCGGAAGGACAGAAGGCTGAGTCAATCTTGAGCCGGTCAGGATCGAACTCCTGGCAGTGGGCAGAGTTAGCCTGCAATACCACATTCTAACCACCGTGCCACCACGGCTCTTCCTGATATTTGCTACTCCTGATATTTCTCTTTATGGAACCTGTACTTACCTATCTAGAATTGTTTTTAAAATAATAGATGGGCTAGTTTCAATAAGGAATAACGACTTCCTGCACTGAACTGAGGTTTAAAAAAAAATACATATTTCCTTGCGATTCAGAAAAAAAAAGTTACAAGCAGGGCAAGAATTGTGACAGATACCTTTTGCTGCTACCACCAGTTGGTGGATGGGCTCGCGCATCGTAGCCGATAACCACGCCTCTTTGTTTCAGGTGCCTGACGTTCTTTTTAAGATAGCTACAAAATCCCTACAAGCAGAACAAAACAGATGGCTTTACAGTTTTATTAAGCTGTCTTAGTTGCGGCACACCTTCCCTAGATGACCCATTGGAAGGAGAATAGAATAGAATAGAGAATAGAGAATGGGAATAGAATAGAGAATAGAGAATGGGAATAGAATAGAATAGAATAGAATAGAATAGAATAGAATATGTATTGGAATATAGATTAGAATAGAGAATGGGAATAGAATAGAATAGGTATTGGAATATAGAATAGAGAATGGGAATAGAATAGAATAGAATAGGTATTGGAATATAGAATAGGTATTGGAATATAGATTAGAATAGAGAATGGGAATAGAATAGAATAGGTATTGGAATATAGAATAGAGAATGGGAATAGAATAGAATAGAATAGAATAGAATAGAATAGAATAGGTATTGGAATATAGAATAGAATAGAGAATGGGAACAGACTAGAATAGAATAGAGAATTAGAATAGAATAAAATAAAATAGAATAGGTATTGGAATATAGAATAGAATAGGTATTGGAATTAGAACAGAATAGAGAATGGGAATAGAATAGAAAGAGAATGGGAATAGAATAGAATAGAATAGAATAGAGAATGGGAATAGAATAGAATAGAATAGAATAGAATAGAATAGGTATTGGAATATAGAATAGAATAGAGAATGGGAATAGACTAGACTAGAATAGACTAGACTAGAATAGAGAATGGAAATAGAATAGAATAGAGAATGGGATTAGAATAGAGAATAGAATAGAATAGGAATAGGAATAGAATAGAGAATAGAATAGGAATAGAATAGAATAAAGAATAGGAATAGAATAGAATGGGAATAGAATAGAGAATGGGAATAGAATAGAGAATAGAATAGAATAGAATAGGAATAGAATGGGAGTAGAATAGAATGGGAATAGAATAGAATAGAGTAGAGTAGATTTGAATAGAATAGGGTAGGATAGGGTAGGATAGGGTAGGATAGGATAGGATAGGGTAGGAGAAAGCTGGTCATTTGCATTCTTTTAGAGAGTTGTTGAGGCCACTCAGAGGTTTATCTACATCCTCACCATCCTCACAGGTGACCCTCCACAACACAGTCCTTTCAATGATCCCAAGAAGGCTCCACACCCATTTGCACCACTCAGGTAACCCTGAGGACACAGATAAACCTCCAAGTGGACTCAACAACTCTCTAAAAGAAGGCAAATGACCAGCTGTCTGCAAGGAGTATAAATCCTTCCATTTCTCCACCATCTAGTCAAAGCCGAAGAAGCTTCTGGGATGAGAAGCGAAACGTCTTCAAAGAAAAAACAAGATTAAGTCCAGTTGCCTCCTGAAAAAAAAAAAACAACAACTTTGGGACAACCGAGAATCTCCACAGACATTAATTAAGCACACAGAGCTCAATCTGATACCTGTGAAGTCTGAATAATAGTCAGGTCATTCATCTGTGAGGTTCCGGGTCCCATGGCCGCTCGTAGTCCCGCCGTCCCAAATTCCATCCGGGAGCCAAAACATTTTAATAATTCTTCCGTGTTTCCCTTGGCAATCAGCTGCTTCACTATTTCCAAAGTTTTAGGATTCTGCAAAATAAGACAATCTTGGGTTTAGTTGTGTTCCCTCGTTGCACCTACATCTGGTGAGCGTCAGGAAAATGGTTCACGTCGCAACACCAAGATAAAAACATACCTATATGTGGCTAATGGGTACACAGAGAGTCCCCAACTTACCACCACGTCTGCTGCTAAGTGAGACGTGTGTTAAGGGCATTTTGCCCCGTTTTACCACCTGTCTTGCCTGGTGAATCACGGCCGTTGTTAAATGAATAACACGGACATTAAGCAAATCTGGCTTCTCCACTGGGAAATCAGAAGATCACAAAAGCAGATCACGTGAGGCCGGGGACACTGCAACCGTCGTAAATATGAGTCAGTTGCCAAGTGTCTGGATTTTTGGACCACGTGACCCTGGGGATGCTGCAACGGTCGTAAGTGTGAAAAACGGTCGTGTTATTTTCGGTGTCGCGCTAACTTAGAGAGCTGGCTAATTGAGCTGCTGTGAGTCTAGGACAGTGATTCTCAACCTTTCTAATGCCGTGACCCCATAATACATTTCCCCATGTTGTGGTGACCCCCAAGTGGGTGTGGCCACCAATAAGAGGGAGTAGGATAGCTAGGGAAAAGGGAAAAAAATGGCGGACAGCATGGTTTGGCGACCCCCGTGAAATGGTCTTTCGATCCCAAATGGGGTCCCGACCCACAGGTTGAGAACCACTGGTCTAGGACTACCTGTGTAACACTGAAAAACATAGAAATGAAATGGTTACTTCAGGCCCTCCTCTTCAACAGACCGTTCAAACAATTTAACTAATGTAAAATAGTCTTATTAAGTGAACAAGGCTACAGGTATAAAGAAATGAGAAGAAAAAAAATGGGTGGAAACCTAACCAAAAGTGGCATTTCTACCGTACGCTTTCCCCAAAAGGTTTCCACAGTTTTGGCCACTACTGTATATTGCAAAGTTGCTCACGTCCTCTTTTAAGATATTCAGTGCCGGAAGCAAACTCTCTTCCAAGTTTTTGCTGGTAACCTGAGACCATTAGTTTACAAAATGGCAGCTCTTCCCATTTAATTCACGGAGAAGAATATTGTGTAACCAGTACTTACTCCTGACTGCCTTGATTAAAAGACAGGGATCTATTTTTGTTCACGCGCTCCGGATGGCCACTCAGTTCCAGCTCGCCAAATTCAATTCCTGTTTCGCAACCGGCACAATTTTCCTTTTATCGGACTTTTAGCGATTCAACTGAACTTTACTTTAGGTTGTGTAATCTTCCAGCTACTTGCTTAAGAGTGCAGAGTGTTGTGTATTTGCTTTACTAGCAGGGACTTTGACAGAGAGACATCTAAAAGTTTTTTTGCAGATTTAGGAGGACACGGCTCCGTTAAAATTCAATTCTGCTCGTGGCACCAGGTTCTGATGAATGATTAATCCATTGAACCAAGCTGCCTCTGGTTCCAGAAAGGTCCACATGGATTGTGTCACTGAGGCTGCGCTGTGTTCTCCCCTCCTGTTCTCAAGTTCACGCCTAAGGCGGGACTAGAATTCACAGTCACAAGGTGACTGGCCCAAAATGATCCAGCCAGCTTCTATGCTTAAGGTGAAACTAGAACTCACGGTCTCCTGATTACTGACCCAAAATTACTCAGCCAGTTTTTCAGGCCTAAGGCGACACTAGAACTCACAGTCACCTGGTGATTGGCTCAAAGTCTCCCAGCTGACTTTCATGCCTAAGGCGGGACTAAAACTCACAGTCACCTGGTGATTGGTCCAAAGTTACCCAGCCAGCTTTCATACCTAAGGCGGGACTAGAACTCGTAGTCTACCTGGTTTCCTTAACCATTACTTCAAACTGTCTCTGTAAAAAAATGCTTTATAGGTAGGCATTTTTCGAAAATACCTGACTCTGGGTGGCTTAGAACCATTAAAATAGTGACAAAAAGCAGAACACAATGTAAAAATATATAAAAGCCTATAAATCAGATAAAACTGAGCAATGCTCAAATTATTCAAAGCTGAGCTTTTTAGGCCAGGTCCTTCACCATGGATAGCTGGGATCTTTTCCCAGCTTTCTCCAGCTAGAATAGAATAGAATAGAACAGAATAGAATAGATGTTAGAATATACAATAGAATAGAATAGAAAATATGGAATGGAATGGAATGGAATATAGAATAGAATAGAGAATAGAATAGAATAGATGTTAGAATATAGAATAGAATAGAATAGATGTTAGAATATAGAATAGAATAGAATAGAATAGAAAATAGAATAGAATAGATGTTAGAATATAGAATAGAATAGAATAGAAAATAGAATAGATGTTAGAATATAGAATAGAATAGAATAGAATAGATATTGGAATATAGGATAGGATAGAGAATAGAATAGAATAGAATAGAATAGAATAGAATAGAATAGAATAGAAGCTGGAAGGGACCTTGGAGATATTCTAGTCCAGCCCCCTGCTCAAGCAGGAGAACCTATACCAGTGGTTCTCAACCTTTTTAATGCCGCGACCCCCAACCGGTCGTAAGTCGAGGACTACGCAACCGGTCATAAGTCGAGGACTACTCAACTGGTGCAGCACCGTTTGCAGAATGGGACTTTTGGTGGGCTCAGTAGGGCAGAGACAGCCTGGACAATTCCTATTGGCTTTGGAAGCCAATAGAATTAGACTCTATTCAAGAGAGTCTATTCTATTGGCTTTCAAAAGCCAATAGAATAAAAGGGAATAGCACAGCTAAGGAAAAGGGGAAAAAAATGGCGGACTGCGTTGTTTGGCGACCCCCGTGAAACGGTCGTTCGACCCCAAATGGGGTCCCGACCCACAGGTTGAGAACCACTGACCTATACCATCTCAGACAAGTGACTGTCTAGTCTCTTCTTAAAAATCTCCAGTAATGAAGCTCCCACAATTTCTGGAGGCAGGCTGTTCCACAGGTTAATTGTCCTCACTGTCAGGAAGTTTCTCCTTAATTCCAGGTTGCTTCTCTCTTTGGTCAGTTTCCAACTACTATAACATGAGTCTATAACCTCACTGTGTGCCTTGAGACGGGATACCTGAAGATGGAGGGCAGAATTTGGACAGTCACTGTCAGCTCTTGGTTTAAACGGGCTCCAGATTCTCCAAGTTTGAAGAAAAAGAACTCTGTGCAAGAATATCTTGACCTCTTAATTTTAATGCGTTAAAGGAGAAATTTCCTGACAGTGAGGACAATTAACCAGGGGAACGGCTTGCCTTCAGAAGTTGTGGGTGCTCCATCACTGGAGGTTTTTAAGAAGAGATTGGGCAGCCACTTGCCCGAAACGGTACAGGGTCTCCTGCTTGAGCAGGGGGCTGGACTAGAAGACCTCTGGATGTCCCTTGCCACTCTGCTATTCTGTCATTCTGCTTCATGTTTTAACAGAGATTGTCCCCGAGGTACGACAACCGAGTCCAAAATTTCTGTGGCTCAGTGTGGACATTCGTTCAAGTGGGCTTTTGCCCCATTTTATTGTCACGGTTGTTAAGTGAATCACCACAGCTGTTAAGTTGGCAACGTGGTTGTTAAGCAAATCTGGCTTGTTAGACAGTCGCAAAAGGGGAATCACCTGACCCCGGGACGCTGCGACCGTCGTAACTACAAATCGTTTGCCAATTGTCTGAATGTTGATCACGTGGCCACAGAGCCTCTTTAAGTGTGAAAAATGGCCCTAAGTCCCTTTTTTTCCAGTGCTGTTGTAACTCTGAACGGTCAAAAAATGAACTGTTGTTAAATTGGGGATTACCTGTATTTATTCACCGTCTGGAATGGTGTCAAAAACATTGCAGTTACACAGGTGTGTGTCCATGCTGAGGCTTCTAAACCGTTTCAATACTATAATCTGAAATAACTATTTTTAGCTCTCAAAGGTTTAAATTTTAACTTCTAAGAAGTGTTAATCCCTATTTTCTAACCAGACATTGGTTAGGATTTATCAGTGACTTGCTCTGCAAGATTTAGGGCTAATTTCAGCTATTTGATGGCTCAGGAATTTAGAGGCTTGGTCGTTTTTTTAGCTGTTCTCTGCATAATTTGATATTGTTGCTGTTCAGCGCTTATATTTCTACCACCTTCTGATCTCTGTCTACTTAGCTTAGTTTTATTCTCCTTTGTATACATGCCTTGGATCCCAGCAATGAAACATTTCATTTGTCCAGAATCACAGAAAGCAGATTTATTTGAAAAGGGATCCCAATTGGAGGATTCGAAACGTATTTGTATAATAAACTAGACGCAAGCTAGATGTTTAAAGCATGTCCCCCATTATGTGACAGGCAGGCAAAAAGCTGAAAAAGAAAACTAAAGTTTTGTAAAAACAAACAAACAATGTCATATACAGATAGTCTGTTGTTAAGCTCGTTGACTTTGTTAGATAGTCGTAAAAGGGGATCACATGACTCTGAGACGTCGCAACCGTCGTAAGAATGAGTCAGTTGCCAAGTGTCTGAATTTTGATCATGTGACTATGAGGATGCTGCAACGGTCGTAAGTGTGAAAAACGGTCGTAAGTCACATTTTTCAGTGCCATTGTAACTTTGAACGGCCACTAAACGAATTATTGAGGGCTACCTGTAGAAATTTTGGTATTGATTTGCATTTGAATGCCCTGCTTAGGCAGCTTCATTTAGTGGAACAACCTGCCCCCAGAAGCGGTGAATGCTCCAACCCTGGAAGTTTTTAAGAAGAGACTAGACAGCCATTTGTCTGAAATGGTGTAGGGTTTCCTGCCTGAGCAGGGGGTTGGACTGGATGACCTCTAAGGTCCCTTCCAACTTTATATTATTATTATTATTATTGATCATCGCACAGTCAGCCAGATGTTCAGACTGGATTTGGCATTTTGTCTACCTATCGAGTCCTTACCCAGGACCGGGGATAGGCAGATGTGGAGGTTTGATGGTATTACAGGTATCGTCGCAGGATGGAAGCAGTTCCTAATAAGGCCGCCTTTTGCAATTGACTAATAGCAAATTTGTCAATGCCAATGGTGTTCAAGTGGTGCTTCAGTTGTTTTGGGATTGCGCCCAAGGAGCCTATGACTATTGGTACTACCTTTGCTTGCTTTTGCCACAGTCTTTCTATTTCTATTTGTAGGTCTTTGTATTTTGTTATCTTCTCCAGTTCTTTCTCTTCTATTCTGCTATCTCCAGGCACTGCCACATCCACTATCCAGACTTTTTTGTCTTCTTATCGACAATTGTTAAGTCTGGGGTGTTATGTTGCAGGTGCTTGTCTGTTTGAATTCTGAAGTCCCAGAGCAGTTTAATTTTATCATTTTCTATGACTTTCTCTATTTTATGAGCCCACCAGTTTTTGTTTACAGGCAAATGTTATTTTTTGCAGATCTTCCAATGCACCATTGTTGCTACTTTGTCATTATTATTATTATTATTATTATTATTATTATTATTATTAATCCTTTCCATCTCAGTGGCACACAAAGCACCTGAATTATGAAAGTGGAAATAAAAGCCTCCATTCCGGATACTGACCGGGCCTTTTGATTTCTTTATCAAATTTAGATACCGCCCACCTCGCTCTCCATTTACTATCTGACATTTGCAGAAGCATTGAGGATGGTTTGAGGATTAGGGCTAAGGGGAATCCGTACTAGAAGTGTGTTATGGGGTCTCCTACTTGAGCAAGGGGTTGGACTAGAAGATCTCCAAGGCCCCTTCCAACTATGTTATTCTGGTATTCCGTTTGCTGGTTATTTCAATTGCAACAGCCAAATGGAGATAAAATACCCATGTAGGATCTTGAAAACCTAACAAAACTCATGTGACAGACTCTAATATGTCCTAACTAAGATAGTACAGCCAAGGAGGCGATGATTGAATAACATAAATTGAATCACGTTATCGTATTCATTCTAGGATTTTATTTTATGAACGGGTTAAAAACGCACGGTGTTCTACAAGCATGTGGTACTTATGACATGTGACGATCCAAATTGAATTTTGCAGCACTCCAGAAGGCTGGTTTTTTTTTAAAGAAAATTGTATGGATTTTCTAGTTTTACATTTAAATATTTGAAAAGCAACGTGGCGGCTGCGTTGATCAATAATTCAATAACATATAAATATCTTTAGTGCAGATCTCAGACTGTTACATTACATAATAATAATAATAATAATTAATAATAATAAAGGTGGAAGGCCACCTAGTCCAACCCCCTGCTCAGGCAGGAAAGCCTACACCATTTCAGACAAATGGCTGTCCAGGCTCTTCTTAAAAACCTCCAGTGTTGGAGCATTCACAGCTTCTGGAGGCAGGTTGTTAACCAGTGGTTAACAACCATTAACCATTAACCAGTGGAACAACCTGCCTCCAGAAGCAGTGAATGCTCCAACACTGGAATTTTTAAAGAAGAGACTGGACAGCCACTTGTCTGAAATGGTGTAGGCTTTCCTGCCTGAGCAGGGGGTGGACTAGAGGACCTCCAAGGTCCCTTCCAACTACATTATTATTATTAATATTATATTATTAATACATATCTATGTATATAGCATGTCTAGATGTATATTTGTACAATTTTGAGAGCAGGCAAAATTTTTTTTGATGTGTGCCAGTGTGCCCACAGTAAAGTGACAATAAAGGTTATTTATATCTATCTATCTATCTACCTATCTATCTATCTATCTATCTATCTATCTATCTATCTATCTATCTCTACCTACCTCTCTACCTACCTACCTATCTTATATCTCTTCTCTATATCTCTATCTATCTATCTATCTATCTATCTATCTATCTATCTATCTATCTATCTATCTAATATCTCTTCTCTATATCTCTATCTATCTATCTATCTATCTATCTATCTAATATCTCTTCTCTATATCTCTATCTATCTATCTATCTATCTATCTACTGTATCGAATCTCTATCTATCTATCTATCTATCTATCTATCTATCTAATATCTCTTCTCTATATCTCTATCTATCTATCTATCTATCTACTGTATCGAATCTCTATCTATCTATCTATCTATCTATCTATCTATCTATCTATCTATCTATCTACTGTATCTAATATCTATCTATCTATCTATCTATCTATCTATCTATCTATCTATCTATCTATCTATCTAATATCTCTTCTCTATCTATCTATCTATCTATCTATCTATCTATCTAATCTAATTTCTCTCTCTCTCTCTCTCTCCCCCCCCTCTCTTTCCCCCCCCCCTCTCTCTCTGATATCTCTTTCATTGAGATGGCAATACCAGGTGATGCACGAATTGCAGAGGAGAAAAATAGCAAAATATTCTGATTTGCAAACTGAAGTGGAGCGACTCTGGAGGCAGAGATCAAGGCTTGTACCCCTAGTAAAAGAGCCCTTGGCCCCATGCCCAAAGGCCCGCCTAGCAGATACATGGACATCCTGAACTTATTAGACCCGAATATCCTGACTTTGCAAAAGCCACCCTACTTGGAACTGCCCATATGCTCAGGCGCTGCCTTCCCAGCTCCCTTAGGTCCTTGCTTAGGACTCCAGCTGCTTTGGCCCACTCTGGTTTTTCTGCCGGGAACGGAGGACTTTCCCAAGCAGGATCAAACCAGGAAGAGTCAGATGGAAAGCAATGCCGGGAAATCCAGCCAAACCAGTCCCGCCCGTTGCATCCCCTTTTCTTCTTCTGCAGGAGCAGAATCGGGACCCGGTTCCAAACCCATCAAAGCCATTCAAAGGAGAGTTGGGGGGGGTGGTACCCCAATTCTGCTTTTTTTTCTTGTTTGGGGGGATGCCTGGTTGCAACAGATTCCCCTCCCCCCATGCACCCCTTGCTAGCCTTGGAATAAAGGGAACCGGGTTAGTCAAAGGAAGGGAGACCAACAGGAAATCTCCCCCCCCACCAGGAGCGATTGGGGACACCCCAACCCAATTTTTTTCTCCCTTTTGGGGGGGGGAGGGGGCGCCTGGTTGCAACAGATCCCAGCCGCGCACCCCCTTGCTAGCCTTGGAATAAAGGGAGCCGCGTTAGCCAAAGGAAGGGAGACCACCAGGAAAGCTCCCCCTCCCACCGGGAGCGATTGGGGACACCCCAACCCATTTTTTCTCTCCATTTTTTTGGGGGGAGGGGGCGCCTGGTTGCAACAGATCCCAGCCGCGCACTCCCTTGCTAGCCTTGGAATAAAGGGAGCCGCGTTAGCCAAAGGAAGGGAGACCACCAGGAAAGCCCCCAGCCCTCCCGAGAGTGATCCAGTCTATCGTACTGGGAAACGAAGGAGCCCCCCCCTCCCCCAGGCTTCCTCTCTCTGTAGCTCCGCGGGAGGGGGGGGGGAATCTGGAATTGGGGCGACCCGGGGTCGTCTAGCTGCTCTCACCTTGTCCCAGAGCAGCCACTGGGCTGCCGCCGCCCGGGCGCGATCCGCCGCCTCCGCCATCCGGATGCAAAAAAGAAAGAAAGAAACAAAACAGAGAAAGGCAGAGAAAAGGCCACGACTGCCGGCTCTGCCTGTAGGCTCCGCCCCGGGAGGCGGAGTCAAGGGGTGGGCGGAAACCTCCCACCCCCGACGAATCACAGCAGCCACGTCGGGAGGAGGAGGAGCTCCGCGCGGGTGGTGGTGGTGGGGGTAGAGGGTTGACGCCCAGGAGGCGGTCTTGCCTTGCTCCGCCCATCGAGGGGAGGGGAGGAAAGGAAAAGGAGGGGGACAGGAGACCACCAGGAGATCACCGTTGCCTGCGATGGGTTCGTGAACGTGGTAGGGAGCCGATCTGGCTCTGGAGACAATCTCCTTTGCTACATTGTCGCTCAGCCCTCTCCTAGCACGTTTTCCCACCTACTGTGCTCTCTTTGCCCAGGAGGATGGGTAGGGGGCTGTTTAGGATGACCCAAGGATCCCCTAAAAGGGGATCAAAGGGGGGAGGGGCGTCCAGGGGGTCTTTTAGGGAGAGCCCTTCACCAATGTCCTGAAGCACAGATTTAGCCAACGTATTTCTTCTTCCTTCCTTCCTTCCTTCCTTCCTTCCTTCCTTCCTTCCTTCCTCCTCCTCCTTTCTTTCTTCTTATTCCTTCTTCTTTCTTTGTTCTTATTATTCCTTCTTCTCCTTTCTTCTTCTTCTTTCTTCTTCATTCTTATTATTTCTTCATTTCTTATTCTTCATTCTTATTTCTTCTTCATTCTTATTATTTCTTCTTCATTCTTTATTATTAATTATTATTTATTCTTATTTCTTTTTCATTTTTCTCCTTCTCCTTCTCCTTCACCTCTTCCTCTCCTCCTTCTTCAATCTTCATTCTTCATTCTTATTCCTTCTTCTTTCTTCATTCTTCTTCTTATTTCTTCTTCTTCTTCATTATTATTTTTCATTATTCTTACTCCTCATTCTTTCTTCTTATTTCTTCTTCACTTTATTCTTATTATTTCTTCTTCACTGTTTCTTATTTCTTCTTCATTCCTTCTTCTTCATTCTTTATTCTTATTTCTTCATTCTTTATTCTTATTTCTTCTTCATTCTTCATTCTTTCTTCTTCTCTTCCTACTCCATTCTTAATTCTTATTTCTTCTTCATTCCTTCTTCTTCATTCTTTATTATTATTTCTTCATTCTTTATTATTATTTCTTCTTCATTCTTCATTCTTTCTTCTCCTCCTCCTTCTACTGCATTCTTAATTCTTATTTCTTCTTTATTCTTATTTCTTCTTCATTCTTTTTATTTCTTCATTACTTCTTCATTCTTTATTCTTATTTCTTCATTCTTTATTCTTATTATTTCTTTTTCATTCTTATTTCTTCTTCATTCTTCTTCTCCTCCTACTCCATTCTTAATTCTTATTATTTCTTCTTTTTTTCATTCTTCTTCTTCTTCTTCATCATCATCATCATTATTAATTTTCTTCACTGGCTTTCATTTTTTTAAAACCATTTTCACTGGCTCTCATTTTAGAAGGCAAGTTTTCAGGGCCCAGAACCTTGAGATCTAGCTCCCTCAAATACAAGCACTGGTCTAATCCAGGGATGTCCAGCCTTGGCAAATTTAAGACCTGTAAACTTCAGCTCCCAGAATTCCCAAGGTCAGCCACGCATGGAGAAGTCTGGGAGTTGAAGTCCACGGGTCTTAATGTTGTCAACGTTGGACATCCCAGATCTGGGAGGCAGATCTTCCTTACTTGTACAAACTGTTTATTGGGTAAACAGGGGCCAAAATTGCCAAATAATCTAAAACTTGCTGTCAGCAGAGCTTGTGAGAGAGCTTAAGTATCTTATGTTAGGTAACAGATATATTCATTTCATTAGATAGGAAATATATTTGTTCTACTCCCTGGTGACCTTGATATTTTTTTCCCAATGAAACATCGGGATTGCAAAGTCCATCTCGAGTAATCAAGGCATCCCATGTGCCAGGCATCATAGCCCATCATTAAATGCATATCTTGCAGAGAAGTTACCTTAATTATCTTTATTAATTGCCTTTAGATCACAGCATATTTTCCCAGTGGCTTCACTTCCCGGTGAGTTGACAGCCTCTCTCTTTCCTCAATCTATTGCTTTTTAATCTAGGAGAGGTGACAAAAAGGAAACAGTAGCCGAGTCTAATAGCAAACAGTAAGATGGAAAGCTAAATGAGATAAACCTGATAAATCTCAAACGCCCTTGTCTCTTTGTACTTGTGTATTGTCTATTTGTGCAGTGCTCTCCATTACTGCAAAGCTGATGTAGTGCAAAGCAATTACAGTAAAATACCATACAAACAATGACTTAAAGCCAGTAGGGAAATAATATTTTCATTTAGAGAAAAGCAAAGGAAAAGAAAAATAGTCCGTTCATAATAATGACAACATTTTTCTTATTCGTAATAAAAAAGGCTTAGTCAAAGAGAGAGGCATAGAAAAGATGTGGACGTGCACAGACTGTGTGAACAATAGAGGTTTGTGTAACCATCTCAGGGAGCACTTTTCCAGATAACATCCTTGTGCAAGATTAATGAGGCTGCGTGAGTGTCCTATTTAGTTGCACGCTTGCAATTCCACATACGTTCATGGCACGCAAGAGTATGATACAATACACAACTAGGCCATCGTGGTGTGCCTATTGCACAGAAGATTAAGAAAGGAAACTTAAAAGGATGCTATAGACAAACAAGAACGGTGAAACAACATTAAAAAAAAACTTTCCAAGTGGAACAACCTGCCTCCAGAAGTTGTGGGTGCTCCAACACTGGATGTTTTTAAGAAGAGACTGGACAACCGTTTGTCTGAAGCGGTATAGGGTTTCCTGCCTGAGCAGGGGGTTGGACTAGATGACCTCTAAGGTTCCTTCCAACTCTGTTATTCTGTTATTCAATTCAGTGATTCCCAGTGATAGGTGATGGTGATTGTTGTTGCTATTCCCTTGATAATACCTATCACACACACACACACACACACACAGAGAGAGTTGTATAGAGATAGGTAGGTAGGTAGGTAGGTAGGTAGGTAGGTAGGTAGATAGATAGATAGATAGATAGATAGATAGATAGATAGATAGAGATTGATAGATTAGATATATAGAAATACCTATCACAGAGAGAGACATACACACACACAGATGTATAGAGATAGATAGATATTGATAGATTAAATAGAAATAGATAGAAATACCTATCACACACACACAAACACACACACACACACACACACACAGAGAGAGAGAGAGAGAGGGAGGGAGGGAGGGAGGGAGGGAGGGAGAGAGAGAGAGAGAGAGAGAGAGAGAGAGAGAGAGAGAGAGAGAGAGAGATCTATGTACTTAATCATTTTGGAACTGTGGGATTAATTAGATTTTCAAGTCCTCTTCAATTTTCATGATTTTATTTATTTACTTTTTTGCTGCCAAAAACTTTTTTTGTGAAGCAGAGTGCCCTCTGCTGGTGTGAAGATAACATTTGAGGCTCTGTGGATCCACCTGTGTTCAATCCCATATTTTTATGCCTTCAGACCATCCTATTAATCTCAGCAAAAAACTAAAAGCAATTTCATAAATTACAAACTGCAAAATTAGGACTGGCAATTGTGATTGGATTTGTTGTCTTCCCAACCTAAAACACCAAAAGAGAGGAGAACTGTAAATTTGTATACATCAGCTAAATTCTGCTGGCTTAGGTCTTCTTATGCTAAAGCAGTGGTTCTCAACCATTTTAATGCCGCGACCCCCAACCGGTCGTAAGTCGAGGACTACTCAACCGGTTGTAAGTCGAGGACTACTCAACTGGTGCAGCACCGTTTGCAGACTGGGACTTTTGGCGGCTCAGCAGGGCAGAGACAGCCTGGACAATTCCTATTGGCTTTTGAAAGCCAAGAGAATTAGACTCTATTCAAGAGAGTCTGTTCTATTGGCTTTCCAAAGCCAATAGAATAAAAGGGAGTAGCACAGCTAAGGAAAAGGGGAAAAAATGGCGGACTGCATTGTTTGGCGACCCCCGTGGAATGGTTGTTCGACCCCAAATGGGGTCCCGACCCACAGGATGAGAACCACTGTGCTAAAGAATAAAGAAAAACCAGATTGGTTTACAAAATGGACATATCTTGCTTGCTGGATTCTATCAGGATCCAGCCTAAGAACTCAAGATAACATCTGATCAATTTTAAACCAGTCTTTCGTTTTCATTCCCATCTTAGGCGCATACATAGAATTTTTTTTTTTTTGAGATCACGGTTTTAAAAAACCAGGGAAACTTGCAAAATTCTTTATAAAACCCTAGTAATACTGCAACCAGTTTTGGTCACCACATTACAAAAAAGATGTTGAGACTTTTGGAAAAAAAAGTGCAGAGAACTAAAGCAACTAAAACGATTAAAGGCCTGGAGACTAAAACATATGAAGAACGGTTGCAGAAACTGGGTATGGCTAGTCTAGAGAAAAGTAGGATTAGGGGGGGACATGATAGCATCTTCCAGTATCTGAGGGGCTGCCATAAAGAAAAGCAGAGTCAACTTATTTTCCAAAGCACCAGAAGGCAAGACAAGAAACAATGGATGGAAACTAAACAAGGAGAGAAGCAACCTGGAATTAAGGAGAAACAGTGAGGACAATTAACCAATGGAGCAGCTTGCCTCCAGAAGTTGTGGGTGATCCATCACTGGAGGTTTTTAAGAAGAGACTGGACAGCTACCTATCTGAATTGGTACAGGGTCTCCTGCTTGAGCAGGGGGTTGGACTAGAAGATCTCCAAGGTCCCTTCCAGCTCTATTCTGACTCCAAATATTATTGGATCCTCTTTGAAGCGAGACCTTATTGGAAAGGAGAAAACTACGAATTTTTCAATCCATTTGAATACAGCCTTGTTGTCAAAACCCACTACTCATGGCCTGAGATATTAACATTGGTCTAGAGCAGGGCTAGGCAACCTTGGCTCTTTTATGACTCGTGGACTTCCACTCCCAGAATTCCTGAACCAGCCATGCTGAGGGGAAAGGGAGAGGTTTCCAAGCTGAGCCAGGCTGGTTCAGGAATTCTGGGAGTTGAAGTCCACGAGTCATAAAGCGGCCCAGGCCTAGG